TTTAATTACCAGTGGTACATGTATTCCGACTTTGTTTAATTACCAGTGGTACATGTATTCTGACTTTTTTTAAATTACCAGTGGTACATGTATTCCGACTTTTTTTAATTACCAGTGGTATATGTATTCCGACTTTGTTTAATTACCAGTGGTACATGTATTCTGACTTTTTTTAAATTACCAGTGGTACATGTATTCTGACTTTTTTTAAATTACCAGTGGTACATGTATTCCGACTAATTTTAATTACCAGTGGTATATGTATTCTGACTTTTTTTGATTACCAGTGGTGCATGTGTTCTGATTTTGTTTAATTACCTGTGGTACATGTATTGAAATCTTAATGTTTTTTCAAATGCCTGTGGTACATGTATTCCGACCATGTTAAATACCTGTGGTACCATGTATTCTGACTTTGTTTAATTACCTGTGGTACATGTATTGAAATCTTCATGTTTTTTTAATTACCTGTGGTACATGTATTCTGACTTTGTTTAATTACCTGTGGTACATGTATTGAAATCTTCATGTTTTTTTAATTACCTGTGGTACATGTATTCTGATTTTGTTTAATTACCTGTGGTACATGTATTGAATTCTTTATGATTTTTTTATTGTGTTGATTTCCTGAAAAATGACAACTATGGAACAGAATAATATTGAAGAAGGTGTTAGTCTACCAATATCTAGTCATAAACAACGACAGAAAAAGTTGACGGAGGAAAGAAATCAGGAGTATAATGCTATCCTAGTACAGGTACAGCCGCACATTTAATAGATGTTGTTCTCTGTCTCTACCGCTACGTGGTAGGGATAGTACAGGTACAGCCGCACATTTAATAGATGTTGATCTCTCTGTCTCTACCGCTACATGGTAGGGATAGCACAGGTACAGCCGCACATTTAATAGATGTTGTTCTCTCTGTCCCTACCGCTACGTGGTAGGGATAGTACAGGTACAGCCGGACATTTAATAGATGTTGATCTCTCTGTCTCTACCGCTACGTGGTAGGGATAGCACAGGTACAGCCGCACATTTAATAGATGTTGTTCCCTCTGTCCCTACCGCTACGTGGTAGGGATAGTACAGGTACACCCGCACATTTAATAGATGGTGTTCTCTCTGTCTCTACCGCTACGTGGTAGGGATAGCACAGGTACAGCCGCACATTTAATAGATGTTGTTCTCTGTCTCTACCGCTACGTGGTAGGGATAGTACAGTTACACCCACACATTTAATAGATGGTGTTCTCTCTGTCCCTACCGCTACGTGGTAGGGTTAGTACAGGAACACCCACACATTTAATAGATGTTGTTCTCTCTGTCTCTACCGCTACGTGGTAGGGATAGTACAGGTACACCCGCACATTTAATAGATGTTGTTCTCTCTGTCCCTACCGCTATGTGGTAGGGATAGTACAGGTACAGCCACACATTTAATAGATGTTGTTCTCTGTCTCTACCGCTACGTGGTAGGGATAGTACAGGTACAGACGCACATTTAATAGATGTTGTTCTCTGTCTCTACCGCTACGTGGTAGGGATAGTACAGGTACGCCCACACATTTAATAGATGTTGTTCTCTCTGTCTCTACCGCTACGTGGTAGGAATAGTACAGGTACACCCGCACATTTAATAGATGTTGTTCTCTCTGTCTCTACCGCTACGTGGTAGGGATAGTACGGTAGAACCTTGTGAGTCCAGATACTTCTGTTTCTGAAAAAAATAGTCTGAATATTTTTTTGGGGAATCGTTCATAGTATAAAGATAAAATAAAAATTAATGTAAATCAATGTAAAGACGCCTACATTTTCCCTATGAATTTTGAATATTTTATTTTTTTCTGCTTTTCAAAATAAGAATTACTATACTTTTAACTTATATTATAGATAATAAAAATAGATTTTGTTATAATGAACATATATAACACCAGTTAGTTCAGATAAGGACAGTTATTTTTTATGATTCATCAAAATCTATTTTCAAATGCCATCATCAGGACAATAAAAAGGAGAGACACATCCGAGAATTTTCTGGGGAGGGGGTCACTCTTCGTGTCTCGGACTCGGGTCACAAACAACGGAAAAAACAACTGGAGGAGGAGAGAAACAGAGAGTATAATGAAATGGTTGCCAAGGTACCTTTGCACTTAAAAAATGTCTTTGTTCTGATTGGAAATTTATCTCAATATGTTGTTTTGAAGGAAGCTTTCAAATATTTAACTTAATTAATTCTGCATGATTTCTAAGGTACAAACACTTTGATAAAAAATCCTTCCCTGAATTTTTTATAACTTTGAAAGATTGTGTTGAGTATATTTTTTTTTTAACATACCAAAATACTCTTTTATGTACATAATTCAATATTTCATTTTCACACTCAGATATATATATCTTTCTTTGCTTTATAAATTTTTGTAACTTCAAAGGAAAGTTTCAATAAATAAATAAAAACATAACCGCATTTGACCTCAAATAAGCTCCCACTCGCAAAAGGCCCCCTAAAATATATTTTCAGTTCAATATAATTATACATGTTAGAAGACAATAACCAGGTTAAAGAAATTCCTTATAAAGCAGTATCTAAAAATTACATACTTTTATAAATAGGACAAAGAGCAGGTTGTTAAGAAAGCTGGCCTGTCTGGGGAGGGTGTCAGTCTGCGAATCTCAGACTCTGGTCACAAACAGAAAAGAAAACAACTGTTGCAGGACAGAAACAAAGAATATAATGAAATGATTGGCCAGGTACAAATGCATATTTTAGATGTTTTTGCAGTGAAAAGTTGTTGTAATTTTGGCTACGCCTTGTTATTCCGTCTTTTCGTATTGCAGAGTTATCTGCTCTTGTGAGCAGGTATTGAATGTTACGTCATTAGTTTGTGGTGTGAGAAAATTACGTTGTTTTCTAAAAAAAAATGATGACGTTTCTCTCACAAACAAATGACGTAACAATCAATACCTGCTATCAAGAGCAGAGAACTCTGCAATACGAAAAGATGGAATAAAATGTTTGGCCTATAATAATTTCTTGACACCAATATATGTCCATTATGAAAACAAAGTAGATCTTCAAATGTTAATTAAGTATATCAATTTTGTATATAATACATTATATGTAGTAATATCCTTTTCTGTAATAGATTTTATTATGAGGTGAAACAAAAAGTATTTGTGTTAGAGATACAGGAGGAAATTTTTATAAGAAAAAATCTTATAATTTGATATTTTTATAAATTTAGGATACAAAGCAGGCTGGTACAACAGCCATTGTATCTGGGGAGGGGGTCAGTCTGCGTATTTCAGACTCGGGTCACAAACAGCGAAAGAAACGATTGGAGGAGGAAAGGAAGAAAGAGTATAATGAAATGGTTGCCCAGGTACAAAAGCACAGTTTTGATGTTTTTTCTGTTGTTGTATTATTTTGTTTGTGTACCTAGTTGTAAAGTATATTAGGATATATATAATATCTTGACACCAACATGTAAATGTTGTGTGATAAATTAGATTTCCAAACAAATATTATATAATAATTATTTAATTCTTTAAAAAAAAAGAGGAAGATGTATGTTTATAATTTTTTGAAGAGGGTAATTATTACACATTTTTCACACTTTACACACTTCTATAAACAGGATACAAAGCAGGCTGGTACAACAGCCATTGTATCTGGGGAGGGGGTCAGTCTGCGTATCTCTGACTCGAGTCACAAACAGCGAAAGAAACGATTGGAGGAGGAAAGGAAGAAAGAGTATAATGAAATGGTTGCCCAGGTACAAAAGCACAGTGTTGATGTTGTGTTTTTATTTATAATTATTTTCTATTTTAGTCTAATTGGTAATAAATGCCCCTTATGCCCGAAAATGTATTAGGATTATTTTTAGACATTTAGTTTCATTTATTTAAGAATCTATTGACATATACAAAATGTATTAAAATTGAGAATATTGAAAAAGGATTGGGGTAGTTATTTCATAATTTTCTTCAAAATTCAATATTCTAGCTTAAAGTTCCATCTAAAAAGAAAGATGATGGTGATTTGTTGGGGGAAGGTTTACGTTTACCACTCTCTGGCCACGAGGGTCAGCGCCAGCAACTAAAGGAGGCAGTGAAGAAAGATTACAATGACATGCTTGCTCAGGTACAGAAATAACTACAATCCATGGGTCATTTCACGTAAATTATTTTCTCAGGTCTTGAGATTGTGAATGAAATATTCAACTTATTTTCAAAATTCTTTTTTATGCCCCCACCATAAAATAAGTATATAGTGTTGCCCATGTCCGTCCTGTCCCGCCCAATCCTGTCCCGTCCCGTCCGTCCCGTCCTGTGATCAAAGTGGTTGTGACTATTTATAGAACATCAAACACTAAGACTAATTTCACATGGTGACGGGGACATTCATGTCTTACAGACATTTTCTAGTTTTGTAACATTCTCCAAGTTGTCCCAGAAAAACTCGAAGTAACTGAATAAAAATTGTTTGAAAAAAAAAATCCTTAATTGAAGATGGGTGGAAGAAAGCAGACATCATGAGATTACCTTGTATTAGTACAAATGTAGTCATATCTATATAAAGTCATGGCTAATTAATTTATCAATGTTAAGTAAAAGGATGTAAGAATTTAAAAATTTGAATATTTATTTCAGAATCTCGAAAGTTGAGAAATGAATTATGATTGTAATGTGTACTCTGCTTTAGTATGATGATATAAAAAAATAAGGTTTTCCTTTTAAAATCTCAATCTTGCAGAGTAGCTAGAGTAGTCACCCATAGTAGTGTTTGGGCCAGATCCTAAACATCCCTGTAAAGACATTGAGTATCTCTGTCTTGTTACGGGTTTAAATAAAGTATTGGATAGTCTTATAATAAATATAAAATAGGTAAAAAATAGTTGACTACTTGTTGCAAGTAAAATACACAGCTAATCATGTCATTATCATAACCCGGTAATCAGTACATGTATTGTTAAGTACAGTCATTATTATTTTGGAATTGTTTTAACAGAATTTATTATTACCTCTATAAACTTGATTTATAAAATGAAATACAATGTAGCCTGTGCACCTGTAGAAGATGAAGCCTTGTAGCTTCAGTAGAACTCTAGGTACTCGGACCTAGTAAGGTAACTGGAGATGATGTGGCCTCTGTTGTAGCAAGGCACCAACATATTAGACAAGGACACAAGAGCTCTACAAGGGGAGGCAATCAGCCTACCCCTGTCTGGCCATGAGGAGAAGCGTCGAAAGATGGTAAAGGAGAGACAAGAGGAATACAAGGATATGTTGGCCCAGGTACTATGTACCACTGTACTTAGTTGTTGCCTTAGTGCTGTAATGATAAAGTGTACAATTTAATCACCTGTAAGCCTGCATATATCAAGACTTCTGTACTAATTCTTTTATTCTAATTATGTATAAAAGGTTAAACTAAAGCCTGACATCTAAGGATTGAAGTGTAACAACAGTTGGTAACTGAAGATTTGCTTCGAATGTTTGTTCACAGTATGAGAGATGTTTTTTTTCATAAAAATACAATTAATGTGGATTTATTCCTTCTTTTTGTATTGCAGAGTTATCTTCTCTTGTGAGCAGGTATTGATTGTTACGTCATTGGTTTGTGTAAGAAAATTACGTCGTTTTCTCAAAAAATGATAACGTTACTCTCACAAACCAATGACTTAACAATTAATACCTGCTCACAAGAGCAGATAACTGCAATACGAAAAGACCGAATAGTTTGTTTAGATGGATGTAGATTACATCTCTTGAAAATTACACAGTCTTGTCCATAATTATTCTGTGATGTACATGTACTTTTATGTTATTGGGTAGTTATATATTTACTTTGTTCATGAAAACCTGCTCATATATTATACTGGTTAAAAGCTACTGTTTATTGATACAAGATGGAATTATTCCTACAGTACATTTAAATCAACGTTACATCTCTAGCAGTTACAGATCTTCATTTGTCATTTTGTTAAAATTCTAGAAAAAGTTTCAAGGTCAACCAAAAAACAGATGCAACGTTGAAGGTGAAGACAAAAGTCTGCCAGTATCTAATCATACAGAACAACGTAAACAATTACCACAGGATAAAACCCATGACAACGTAGAAACGGTCGCCAAGGTATTACACAGTATACTCTGTAGTCATAGTCACCAGTAGAGGGGTTTTCTTTTCTTTTTCTTTGTTTTCAATATTGAATATATGTAATCCAATTATTTGAATTACTTGAAAATTTGTAACAAGTATCTGGAAAAACATTTAAATTTGAATCTGTTTATTATACATTTATTGGTCTTGAGGTAGGGAAACCTGATTCTTTTATTAATCATTGTTTCATGAGGGCATTAAGTCCAAGAATAAATATTTTATTATACCTGAAGCAGAATAATAAAACACCAGTGAAAAAGATCAGGCTAAGTAAATTTTCAAGTTTGATTTCATCTTTAAGTCAGCCAATCTTTGAAAAATCCATGACATCCCTCTTTTTCCTTTTTTTATCTTATTATTAGTGTTTTTTCATATTAAAGCAGTTTTCAATTTTTAGATTTCGTAAAACCTAAATTATGTTTACATCATAGATTACTGGTCATATTTAAATCAAAACCTTGCAGAGAAAGTCAGAGAAATCCGTGCGTAATCCCCTTGAAGGGGAGGCCATAAGTCTTCCACTATCTGGCCACCAGAAGGAGAGGCAGCGACTGATGGAGGAGAGACGGCGCGAGTACAACGAAATGATCAGCCAGGTATCTGGCTTTCTTGGACCTTATGTCATTGAAACACTACCACATACATTTATTGTTTGATTTAAACTTTGAGATACCTGCTATGTAGTATCAGATCATAGGCTAAGTTAGCATTAAGCTGCTCTTCCTACAAGAGTTGATAACCTTGACATGAAGATTTGTTTTTTCAGTTAATTGATCAATCCATCTATTCTATTAATAAGTTTAAGAACAGTTTTTGTTAATGTTTTTCACTATTTTAATAAAAAAAATCTAGAATCTAGAAAAAAACATTTATAAAAAATCCAACATTTTCATTACTGGTTGTTAAGTTTAAATATATGTATAAATTTCCTTGTAATCAATAAGTTTCAGAACAATATTTGTTATTTTTTTTCAGTATTTTAATAAAAAAATCTAGATTCCAACATTTTCATTACTGGTTTAAATATATGTAAAAATTTCCTTGTAAGCTGAAGTCGAAAAAAACGAAAGGAAAAGGAACAAAGTCGACTTTTGTCCCAGAAGAACGTAACACAAGTGACAATAAAAATGTGTCCGACACAAAGCGCAGAGATTTTACTCAGGTACTTAGACTACAGCTTATCATTCAAATACAGTACCTGCCAATTAAATTTTAACTGTAAACAAAAGTGATCAATGATTTACCATTTAACAAACTGAATTAAAATAAAAGCCACAAAAATAATATGTTTTTATTTAGTGTATAGTTATATCTTTACAGTTTCTCCCGTGGACAGTTAAAGGTTGTCTTATCCTGCCCCGAAACCCTACTGAAACTAATTCTGAAAATCCTTTAAAATTTGATACAGGATATATATATGCCTGCCATTCTTGTCTTGGACCCCTTCTGTACAGACAGGGTCAGATTGTTTAGCTGGGGAAGTTCTGATAAAGTGTAATTTTACCTTTTTTCTAAATGTCGATTTTGTGTATACAAAAGCATACATGTCCACCTAATTTGTGATCAAACTGAATGCACTGGTTTTAATTCTGTAGCAATATGATAGTGAGGATGAAGGAAGGGAGACAACTGATTTGGAAAAAAAGCTGCAACAACTGCGCAGCATGCTTGAGGTATATGTCTCCTGCACATCAACCTAGAATTTCCTGGTAGTCAATATTTAATTCCATAGATTTTTTTTGGAAGATTTATTCATAATTTCTTTTTTGTAGTAATTATTTACCATTAAGAGAGCATTTGTATAAATATGATTTATACATCTACCTTGTAGTATGTCTTGTTTAGTATTGATTAGGCCATCCCTAAAAAAATGTTTGTTGGCAGTTTCCCTACTCCCATTTTTTTTCAGGGGGTAGGTAGGAACAGATTTTTTTTTTATATTTTAGAAATCTCTTATTTCTTTATAAAAACACAAAGTGTCTGACTTTTCATCAAGAATTTCTTTTTTAACCAAAATTCCAAAAATTGTTTGAGAAGGTACTATTTTCTACTGAGTCGGTCAGGAAACTGCAAACATACAATTTATCATTGATAGCCTTAGTCTAGTTAAGCTGTATGACATTTCATTATGTTTAAGCCTTGCAGATGATGTAAATTAAAACTTTTGCTTGTATACTTTGTATTTTATCTCAATTATTAGATAATTTTAAGCTTGGAAATTGGTCAGAAAAATTATCAATTATTTACACCATTTATTCCAGTAGTTTTTTTTTACAATTTGCACAAAGCATTGTATAACTGCACATTTTAGTTCTGTCAACATGAAGTTGTACAGGATAATAAGGAAAAGATTCTGAAATCTGTCTTGGTCTTGCATCAGTAGTATCACAGCAGGTATGCCGTATTTATGATGGACTACACGAGCGTTACCTGGAAAGATCTCAAACAGATTCCATTGTCCTGTTACAGAGGTCTATTGATAGTGTTGCCTTCCAGATCATTGTATTTGAGGGAGGCGCGGTAGTCTTGTGGTAGGACGCCAGACTCGTGACCGAAGGGTTGCGGGTTTGAGTCTCGTCATGGCACTGTTGTATCTTTGAGAAAGATACTTTACTCCGCTTGTTCAAGACTACTTAGCCATAAATGAGTATGTGGTTGGGCAGTGCAGGAATTGTTGAATGCTAGCTGTGAGCGCCAAAATGGCAGCACCGGCTGTATGCTCCACAGTGAGTTGAGAAAGATATTGGCTGGTTGCAAAGGCCCTATAACCACGGATAATAATTTGTAAACTGTTTGAGACGACCTACAGACTAGGTTGTGATAAAGCGGTATATAAGAACCTCAAAGTATTATTAATTATTATTATTTATTTACTAGTGCATAGCTTTTTTCCCCCAGAGCTACAGATTACACAAACTGTTACTTAATTAGTTAGTGCTTGTCTTTGACCAACGTTATATGTATTTTTACGCTTTTCTTGAAAATTGTTGTTATCAATAAATGTCTTTTTCTTTTATGTGAACATATTCTAATTGTTAATGAAATTAATCCACTACATATCTGTTAGTGTCCTTTGATATTTATGATTGTGTTTTGTTTTGTCATTAAAATTACTTATTTGTAATATGTTTGCTTACCCATTATACATATGACAGCTTTCAATCATATGCACATATTGCTGATGTCATCTTCAGACATGTCAGTTTGATTCATTGATTGTCTATAATAGTGAATTCAACATGACTTAGATAAAAAGCTTGATTTTCCATCCAAACATAAGATGATTGAAAATCAGATGTGAAACATAGGTATATGATACAGAATATAATTTAACAGTGCATTTACAAACTTCATTTTCTTCTAATATCAGTTTCCTGCCATGCATTATTGTTTTTTTCATATAGCTAATATAATTAATTACCAGTAATATAATTAATCACCAATAATATAATTTTCTAGTTTTGTAATTTCACAAAAATGTTCTTTGTTTACATTCATCAAAAATGACCAGCATTGCATGCTTACTGATCTCTACTGAAAATAACTAAAAAAAAAGAAGAAGATTAGTCCTCAAACTGAAGTATTAACGAAAGTAAAATTTAATTGCATTATATTTCAAATTAAAAGTAAGTTCAATAGTAACTAAAAAAATAAAAATACTGAAGAAGTTGATTTGCAGAAAATTAAACTTAAGCCTGAACTTAAGATTTTCGATAAATCATAGGTAAATTGAATTACAATGAGTGCTGTACTTGTTTGGCTACAGCCTGACCCCTACCCTCGGGACCAGGCCCGCCCTGAACTGCTTACTTCCATGCCCCAGGGCCAGTATGAGATGGAGAGAGAGCGTGTTGACTATGACCGTCAGCGCCAAAACGAGGAAATGTTGTCCAAGGTAGATAACTCTTGAGATGTTTTGAAGCTAACATGTAGGTTAGTGATGCTAACAATCCCACAGACACCTCCCCTTATTGTACCATGTGTGTATCTTCACTAGCAATCTATAACAGTATCTATCACAAACTGTATCTCCTGTTACCTATGGTAACTAACATGTAGGCTAGTGATGCTAACAATCCCACAGACACCTCCCCTTATTGAACCACGTGTGTATCTTCACTAGCAATCTATAACAGTATCTATCACAAACTGTATCTCCTGTTACCTATGGTAACTAACATGTAGGCTAGTGATGCTAACAATCCCACAGACACCTCCCCTTATTGAACCACGTGTGTATCTTCACTAGCAATCTATAACAGTATCTATCACAAACTGTATCTCCTGTTACCTATGGTAACTAACATGTAGGCTAGTGATGCTAACAATCCCACAGACACCTCCCCTTATTGAACCACGTGTGTATCTTCACTAGCAATCTATAACAGTATCTATCACAAACTGTATCTCCTGTTACCTATGGTAACTAACATGTAGGCTAGTGATGCTAACAATCCCACAGATACCTCCCCTTATTGTACCACGTGTGTATCTACACTAGCCATCTATAACAGTATCTATCACAAACTATCTCCTGTTACCCATGGTAACTAACATGTAGGCTAGTGATGCTAACAATCCCACAGATACCTCCCCTTATTGTACCACGTGTGTATCTACACTAGCCATCTATAGCAGTATCTATCACAAACTGTATCTCCTGTTACCCATGGTAACTAACATGTTTTTCTGTTACTCTTGGTAACTAACATGTTTTTCTGTTACTCTTGGTAACTAACATGTTTTTCTGTTACCCTTGGTAACCCCTATTCAGTAACATTCTTTAGAAACAAACAATCATATTTTCATATCGCTTTAAAGGTCTTGTCTTCTATTTTTGCATTTATCAAAGAAATGTTGACCTTTAGTTGTGTCCATTCTTTCAGTGTAGCCAAACTACCAGCTAAGTAGCATTGGTATAGATATGATGCTAGTTATTATATCAATAATTGGTTCTATATATGTGAACCCTACTTACCCTAATTTTTTGTGCCGACCCTAAACTTTTGAAGGCAATTTTCAAAGAAGAACTGTTAAAATCAAGACAACTCTTCTATATATTACCTATATACCTACCTGCCCTGATTTTTCCTAACATGTTACAGGACACATATCATTTTGTCTGGCCTTATTACTTTTATAGAAACCAATTATTTCTTTATTTTTCCCACAAATATTTTTCAATCATTCGAGCCATTTGAAATCAATGATATATAGGTAGTTGTGAGTGAATACATCCTTCATGATCTCCTGTACTTTAAGAAAAATGTGGTGGAGAGAATGAAATTTGTCAACCAGGTGAGATATGTGTGATACAGATGTTGTACCGATGCTTTACTGACATCAGATTGACTGCTTGTACTGACTTGGTGGAGTTTTACAGAACATACTGCATAGTGCTTAGTTTTTGTGAGCATTGGATTTTCACAAAATTCACATTTTGGTGAAATTCATTAACCCAAGTGAAAATGTCACCTACAATTTTAACATTAAACTGCGTAGTTGTCCAGTATAGTTGTTACATCAGAATGTGCTTTTTTTGTGATTATGTTCTAACATATTTGATTAATAAAGTAATAAATGTATATCAACCTCTGACAGTTCTTTCACTTGACTTTATATTATATAGACACTGGTCAAGCTTTAAATCATATACATATACATGTTCATCCATTGAATCCAGTGGTATTTATGAAGTCACAAATCACAGAGTTTGGTAGACTGCATTTAGTTGTTATGACAGGGTAGAGGAGGATACAAATAACTATGTCTATGACTGTTTGGGTGTTGGAACATGTAATTTTAGTTTATATGCTGTTTAACTGACAGATTAAATTACACACAAGGTTATAGTTGAGGACAATTCATGAATAAATGGTTCTGTATCTCAATAATTACATCATGAATTACATCATGTAATTATTTGATTACCTATAACAGCTCGAGGAGAACCGCATATTTCTAAATAGAATACACCACCCCTGGAGAGAAAACCCCACCCGACAGACACTCAAGGACGCAGTGCCTGTACACTCAGTGTCCGCGTATAACGTCTCACCTGTGGTGATAGACGATTACGTCACACCTGTTGATGATGAGGTGGAACAGGTAGAGCAGGAGCAGGTAGACATGCACGGCACTGCATGTTCAGCTCTGTACATGTATCTAGTTACCATACATTTACCTAGTGGTTATGTAGGTCATGGTCAATAGAGTTATCCCCCTTCCTTTTCAAAATTCTCAGAATTTTTATACATTTTTCGGTGAAAGGTGCTATTATTTAATTCCCTAAAACAGTTCAAGATAACTAAATTAGTGAATTCTAATACTGTTATGATTTTTTGAGAATTGAAAGCACATAAATGGAACAGCCTGGATAATTTTATTTTTTATTTTTTTATCCCCAGGATATTGATAATGATAATTTACGATCTATGCCTTCTTGTCCACAACCTACATTTCTACTAAGTTTAATTGATGCATGAAACAAATTGATTGACAGTTTCCATTCCTTCTTTGTAGTGTTTCTTTGACTTGAGGCAGTAAATTTACTCATATCGGTATATAGTCTGTTGTACACCGTGAACTTTTGTTACAGTTGGAGCTTTGTACTAAATAGTGTTTTGAATGTAATGTCTATTGTTATTGAATGTTTGTCAGTTTGTTGAATTGATGGAGTAGCATTGAATATATATTTATATAGCTTTCAATTTTGTGTTGATTATATCATATGTAAACACAAAAACAATATTTACCATTTAATACAATGTTTATGTTGCTAGGAAACCTGCAATTAAGATGAAAATAGTACATTTTTAGAAAACGTTTGTTTTGCTTTTATTTTGCATGTTTGTTTAATGATAAATGCAGTGAATAAAAAATTATATTGCATCTTTAAAAATGATCTATTTTTTCATTTCTGTTTTTCATTGAAGCACATTTATACTTATATGATTTAATTCTATACCTGATTGATTCTTAAATGTGCCATTTTTACTCTTGTTGAAATATATATCTGAATTAAGTCTTCACAAGATCAGGCTTTACTAATAGTTACTTTATGCGTTTTAGGTGTGTTTTTTTCTAAAATATTTGTTTTGGAAAATGTTCAAGATTTGTGTTAAATTATTGTAAGACTGGACATTTTTTCACATTTTTTTTCTGAATCGGTACAAGAACATGCACACACAAACATATAAATGGACAATGTAAAATATTGACACTATTTAAGTTTGACACATTTGTGACATATTGGCGTACTATATAACATATTGACACTATTTAAGTTTGTCACATTTGTGACATATTGACGTACTATATAACATATTGACACTATTTAAGTTTGACACATTTGTGACATATTGGCGTACTATATAACATATTGACACACCATGTTCTCTGATCATGGATTCCGGACATGAACATTACCTGAAATGAAAAGTTATTTACACTAATTGCTTATTTTTATGATGTGTGAAGTTTTATGTGTATTTTGATTGTTTACAGAAACAGAATACAGGGAGGAGGTTGAAAAGAGAGAAGGACGAGGGACGTCCCGTCACCCCAGGTGGACTCTTGAATAAAATGGGACGTGATCAACAGGACCGCACCAATAAACTCAACAATGAACGCAAGAAAGAATACAACCAACTCCTCACACAGGTAAAAACACTTAATCACTTAATCACTTAATCATGGAATTCAATTGTTGCCTTACAGAGATATAAATACTAAAAAATTGAAAACAGCACCACAAAGAACACTCATTGAATATAGCTAGCCCCACCAAGAACATTTTATCATTGAATACAGCCAGCCCCACAAAGAACACTATATCATTGAATACAGCCAGCCCCACCAAGAACACTTTACCATTGAATACAGCAAGCCCCCCCAATAACACTTTACCATTGAGTACAGCCAGCCCCACCAAGAACATTTTATCATTGAATACAGTCAGCCCCACCAAGAACATTTTATCATTGAATACAGCCAACCCTGCCAAGAACACTTTATCATTGAATACAGCGAGCACCACAAAGAACATTTTATCATTGAATACAGTCAGCCCCACCAAGAACACTTTACCATTGAATACAGCCAGCCCCACCAAGAACATTTTATCATTGAATACAGCCAGCCCCAACAAGAACACTTTACCATTGAATACAGCCAGCACCACAAAGAACATTTTATCATTGAATACAGTCAGCCCCACCAAGAACACTTTACCATTGAATACAGCCAGCACCACAAAGAACATTTTATCATTGAAAACAGCCAGCCCCACCAAGAACATTCTTTCATTGAATACAGCAAGCCCCACCAAGAAAATACATTTTATCATTGAATACAGCCAGCCCCACAAAGAACACTTTACCATTGAATACAGTCAGCCCCACCAAGAACATTCTATCATTAAATACAGCCAGCCCCACCAAGAAAATAAATTTTATCATTGAATACAGCCAGCGCCACAAACAACATTTTATCATTGAATATTTACCACTGTATGGCTATATGTTATTGCCACTATATAAGTAACCCTTCTTAATTCAGATTGCATTTATAAAGCTGTAACTGCCATGGCCTACGTGTTGATATCATCATTATGATGACGTCATAATGATACAGTCGACTCTCCATGGAAGATGAATGTTCTGTTCATTGAACAAGCATACATCATTCATACACTAACTTGAACTAATACAGATTTCTTATTCCCATATTAATTTCTATGATATTTAAATACTCAAAAATGGTAAGTATAAGAATTAGAAAAACAAGTAAATGCCATATCAACACAGCTCATTTCTAAGGTAACACCAGCTCCTTACATAGGTATAATTGGAGAGCCCCGTTGATCATTATACATGTGACAGTTTTGATAAAAAAAGGGATGAAGAAATTATGATAAGATTCACCTTCAGTTCAGAAATGGCTTCATGATCACAACATTTATCTTTAATATCTAAATTGACTATAGAGTAAATTTTCTCTTTTGCAAACTCCAGTATGACAGCTCCCTGTACATTGTACATACAATGTACAGGGAACTATAGTGTACAATCAAATCCACCTATGATTTCAGTATAACAGCTCCCTGTATATTGTACATACAATGTACAGGGGATTATAGTGTACAGTCAAATCCACTTATGATTTCAGTATAACAGCTCCCTGTATATTGTACATCCAATGTACAGGGGATTATAGTGTACAGTCAAATCCACTTATGATTTCAGTATAACAGCTCCCTGTATATTGTACATCCAATGTACAGGGGATTATAGTGTACAGTCAAATCCACTTATGATTTCAGTATAACAGCTCCCTGTATATTGTACATACAATGTACAGGGAACTATAGTGTACAATTAAATCCACCTATGATTTCAGTATAACAGCTCCCTGTATATTGTACATACAATGTACAGGGGATTATAGTGTACAGTCAAATCCACTTATGATTTCAGTATAACAGCTCCCTGTATATTGTACATCCAATGTACAGGGGATTATAGTGTACAGTCAAATCCCCCTATGATTTCAGTATAACAGCTCCCTGTATATTGTACATACAATGTACAGGGGATTATAGTGTACAGTCAAATCCACTTATGATTTCAGTATAACAGCTCCCTGTATATTGTACATCCAATGTACAGGGGATTATAGTGTACAGTCAAATCCCCCTATGATTTCAGTATAACAGCTCCCTGTATATTGTACATCCAATGTACAGGGGATTATAGTGTACAGTCAAATCCACTTATGATTTCAGTATAACAGCTCCCTGTATATTGTACATCCAATGTACAGGGGATTATAGTGTACAGTCAAATCCACTTATGATTTCAGTATAACAGCTCCCTGTATATTGTACATACAATGTACAGGGGATTATAGTGTACAGTCAAATCAACCTATGATTTCAGTATAACAGCTCCCTGTATATTGTACATACAATGTACAGGGAACTATAGTGTACAATTAAATCCACCTATGATTTCAGTATAACAGCTCCCTGTATACTGTACATATAGTGTATAGGGGACTATAGTGTACAGGCAAATCCACCTATGATTTCAGTATAACAGCTCCCTGTACATTGTACATACAATGTACAGGGAACTATAGTGTACAATCAAATCCCCCTATGATTTCAGTATAACAGCTCCCTGTATACTGTACATATAGGGTATAGGGGACTATAGTGTACAGTCAAATCCACCTATGATTTCAGCAAGCTGTGGCTATAAGAGACATGACCAAATCTTATGCAGAGGTCTTGGAAAGTGAGAGATCAGAGGTAAAGGGGGATAACCCCCTGTGTGGCTAATACCTCACCCCATAACCTTCAGTACAGTAGAGCTAAGCAGGATTAGCTAGATTCACAAGCCTTGTCTCTCTAAACTCATACTCTATCATCAGGTCTTGTTCCATTGAAGAAGGAAATTGATAGTTTGCCTATTAGATGAAATGTTTAGATGCATGCCTTGGTGAATGGAGCTTATCTGTATAGCTTTGTTCTGAGGTACGGGTATTATATTTGTCAATGGAAATTAAAAGTGGCAGTTTCTCAGGAACTTCCTATGCTGTGTCTTTAATGCTGAGCAAGCCATGCAAAAATTAATACTTCATCTGACACTGTATAAAAAGAGGCAGTACTCTTATCACTTATGTTGAAATTACAACAATCATGGTGAAAAGCATCAATATATATCATTCTTAAACTTTTGGTCACTTGTTTTAATGAAGCCTTGGTCACTCCTGGTCACTTGTTTTAATGAAACCTTAGTCACTCTTGGTCACTTGTTTTAATGAAGCCCTAGTCACTCCTGGTCACTTGATTTAATGAAGCCTTGGTCAGTATTGGTCACTTGTTTTAATGAAGCCTTGGTCAGTATTGGTCACTTGTTTTAATGAAACCCTAGTCACTCTTGGTCACTTGTTTTAATGAAGCCCTAGTCACTCCTGGTCACTTGTTTTAATGAAACCCTAGTCACTCTTAGTCACTTGTTTTAATGAAACCCTAGTAACTCCTGGTCACTTGTTTTAATGAAGCCCTAGTCACTCTTGGTCACTTGTTTTAATGAAACCCTAGTCACTCTTGGTCACTTGTTTTAATGAAGCCCTAGTCAGTCCTGGTCACTTGTTTTAATGAAACTATAGTCACTCTTGGTCACTTGTTTTAATGAAACCTTAGTCACTCTTGGTCACTTGTTTTAATGAAGCCCTAGTCACTCCTGGTCACTTGTTTTAATGAAGCCCTAGTCACTCTTGGTCACTTGTTTTAATGAAACCCTAGTCACTCTTGGTCACTTGTTTTAATGAAGCCCTAGTCAGTCCTGGTCACTTGTTTTAATGAAACTATAGTCACTCTTGGTCACTTGTTTTAATGAAACCTTAGTCACTCTTGGTCACTTGTTTTAATGAAGCCCTAGTCACTCTTGGTCACTTGTTTTAATGAAGCCCTAGTCACTCTTGGTCACTTGTTTTAATGAAGCCCTAGTCACTCTCGGTCACTTGTTTTAATGAAACCCTAGTCACTCTTAGTCACTTGTTTTAATGAAGCCCTAGTCACTCCTGGTCACTTGTTTTAATGAAGCCCTAGTCACTCTTAGTCACTTGTTTTAATGAAGCCCTAGTCACTCTTGGTCACTTGTTTTAATGAAGCCCTAGTCACTCCTGGTCACTTGTTTTAATGAAACCTTAGTCACTCTTGGTCACTTGTTTTAATGAAGCCCTAGTCACTCTTGGTCACTTGTTTTAATGAAACCCTAGTCACTCTTGGTCACTTGTTTTAATGAAACCTTAGTCACTCCTGGTCACTTGTTTTAATGAAGCCCTAGTCACTCCTGGTCACTTGTTTTAATGAAGCCCTAGTCACTCCTAGTCACTTGTGTTAAGACTTGAAAGAATATAATGTATAACACAAAATGTTCCTAGGGACTTTCCTTCATGGTTTGAATTAAGCCATTTAGATCGTTTCGTGGTACAAACTTTCGTGGATATCATTCAATTTTGTTGTATTTATTTTCGTGGTTCATTAGCAACCACCAATGTTTATACACAAAGAACATTTCATGTTATACAGTAGCGTAGTCACTAAACTTATGAAGTTTTACTTAGTCACTGGTGTTATGAAGCCATAGTAACATGTCAAGTTATTTTGTCACTTTTGTAACTGTCAATGATAAAAATAGCAACTACAGTAAGTAGTTGCACTTTATAGTTAAATCCCTGTCATAGTGATGCTTGTTGAAACTTGAATGGCTGTGGCAAATTTCAGAAAGGAGACAAGCCCCATCGACCATCCTCTGAAACGGGCACGCGGTACACAGAGGTAACGGATCCTCAGCATAATGCATGTTTTGTATCTAGACATTGGATATAACTTCTGGTCGTTGTATCATCAAGAACAGTCCTCTGCTAGCCGTTTCTATAAGTCTGTGTTTGATGTGGTCTGTGGTATATTTATGCAGCCATGCCTATTCTGTTGCTTTACCATTGATCCTTATCATGCTCTTCTTGTGCTTATTATAGTTATTCTTTAGTCTCATCACATCGGCAGTGTAACCTGTAGGTCTATTTTATTATTACCAGCTTGTTTTGATACTTATATTGCAGATGTAATACAAAACTTGTAGTCAATGTTATGGCACTTTCATCTACACTTCGTTCATTCAAATTTTAAGAATAAAAGTATAGATATGTTTTTCTAATTATTTAAGTTTTAAATTTTCTGTTCTTTATACCAGTACATGATTTTATAATAATATTGATTTGTTTGAATATAATTGAACTGATCTTGAACTTGAACAATTATTATTGAATTGAACGGATATATGTAGATATATTGGATGATGATTAATTTCTGTAGCTTTTGTTTTTATACTTATGAATTTCGACACATGATAATGTTTTAATAATTAATTAATAGATGTACATAATGGATCTGTAGCAGAGTTATGTATATGGTTTGAGATAAGATGGGTTCATAAGAATTATTACTATATTGCCTAGGCTATGTAGCTGATGGAGATATATCGATACACACATGATATTTAGCAATAACTACATATAGGACAGTGCCTCCTTGCATCTGTCTGATGTCTGTAATAATTTTTTTCTGACTACAAATATTTCACGATCCCTTCAACAGATTCAGTTCATATTCACATAATGTTGTATACATATGTATCTGATCAGAGTTTGGTTGTCAATGGTCAAGTTTAATTGGTCAAAGTTCACACTTGACCAATATTTTTGCACGTCTGCGGTTTTAGTTGCATTTACACCTTATTATGATAACCTCTAAGGGTCAAAGGTTACACTTGACCTCTTTGGTTGTCAGAGTATATTTATGTGAACCTGGCTGCTCTTTGTTTTGATCTTTTTAAAATTATCCATTGTACCGGAGTTGACACAATTGTATTGTCTCTAAATAATTTGACCTACAGTGAAACACAACTGTGATACCAAGTACATGTATGTTGGGAAAAAATGGAAAATAGTTTCTATATATACCTGCTTCAGAATAAGTATGATGAAATTTAGATATGTTTGAGATTTAGACCATAGAGTTATAGGTTAATGGGATTTTGTAGACATCTGTATATAAATGTAAGCATGCATGCAGCCGATATTATATATAGGATGTGGCGGTGTTGTATGTTAGTACTACCTGTATGATATGCCATCTGTCCACAGGACCCTCGACCTGTTCGCGGCCACCCTCCCAGGCCTGACTATAAGTCTGTAGGTTCCTATGTGTTTCTGTGTCATTGTAGCATTGCTATTGTGTTCTATACTCCTACACTACACATGTTCTATACTCCTACACTACCTACAATACACATGTTCTATACTCCTACACTGCACACCAAGCTTGACCAATTCCTCTCAGGAATGTGACTAAGGACACTACATATGACAAATTAAGATGATCAGGTTAAGAGAATAGTTTGGACTGGAAAAATCCTTTCTGATACTTCATCTGAGTCAACTATCAAGTTTGGTCTACAAGCTTTTGGGAATAGGTTGAGAACTAAATCATAGAATGGCGATAACTCAGAATCATTCACCATGAGTTAGATATTAAATTTCTTTACCATAACATGTAAGCAAATTTGGTTGACGTGATGTCATGCCGTGCCACGTTAATAAACACACAAAAAAAATGGAAAGAGGTATGGTCTAAAGTAGAAGTATCAATAAAGTCTATGGCAGTGATGGGAGACAACGCGGTACATGTTGACAGCACACTGTAGGTGATGATTTGGAGGTTTTCCGGTACAATATGTTCTCCATGACTCTACAATTTGTATATTGCCCGTGTGAGAATGGATACAGCACTTTGATCACTTCTGCACACTGCACAGCATATATCACTCCGCCTCAACACCTTTCATTGTCACACTCGTCCATGGCGAACCCATCGTCAGATACCCACGGTTGATTTCGCCTCGGTACTCACTCATCTGAGTACCGAAGCGAAATCAACTGTGGGTATCGGGACTAACCGACGATGTGGCGAACCTTGATCTCCTCCTTTCTTTTCTGTTGCGTATCGCTCTTGTCACATTTATTCCTGATTTTTGTTCTGATGTCATTGTAGTATTCCTTATGATGTCACAAACTTTGATGTTGATGTTATATATTATTAAACTTCGTGGCATACTGTGTATACTGAGTGCCAAGAAAGAAGTTGGGACTTTTTCGTTTTTACACTATAAAGATAACACGTTCGTAAGTTACTGTACATGTAAAGCAGATTTTTGCAGAATGACAGCAAGATTTTCATTAATTAGTTGCATGTCAAGAGTTATTTTTTTTTGCAGAAATGAAACTCTTTCTAAAATAATTTCATCACTGCGATTGTGTCTGAGGCATTGTGTGTAATGTGAGGTTGGCTATCATAGTCTACTAAGCCCAACACTGCTTTGTCACAGCACTTTAATTGGTCGTGTTAATTAGTGAGGTTTACTGATGTGTGAACACAGTAATGATGCCCAGATTGTGTGATTATGAACCAGAGAAGTGTTGTCATTGTCTTAATGAACCTTAAACTATAGCTGTACTTCACTCGTTATGTCATAAAAACTTATTATCATTGAGTTATTACCAGAACCAAATAAACCTCTTGTTCTTCCATATAAAAACATAGAATAATATATACAATAATATGTGTAGAGTTTACCGACTTACTGCCATGTTGTTTGTCTAATGGAGGGAATGGTTTGTGAAATATACAGTCTTTAATGAATCGATCGGTCAAAATCTCTGCAACAAGTCATCTCCATCAAAATAATTCATGTTATTACTGGAGTCTGTTTCGACAGATGACTGAGTTTGTAACAACTATCATTCGGTAGTAATATATATTATTGCTATGTTTAATGCTCAGACGATTGATTTCACATTTCAGGTTCCGCCCCGGACCCAAGCTCGATTTGAGGATTCTCAACAGGAGAGTTTCAGTGGAGGACTCCCAGGGCCGTCAGCTGGGGACACTGAACAGGTAAGATAGACATCTAACAATAATACGTGTTATAGTTGTTAGTTCTGAAGTGTCTTGTATTCTATGTTTTTACTGTGAAAATTATATCATGTTTCCTTTGGAATTTTATTTTAACATGTTTTTTTGTGTTTTATTTAACAGTGTTTTTCATGAGATTTTTTGCTTTCGGTTCAGAACAGGTGTATTTTGTTCAGGGAGCTGTTACAATAAATACACATGTCTGAATGTGTATCTTCTAAGTATCAGTAAGGATCGATGCTGCAGGTTTTCTTTTCAGACTTACCCTTATATGTGTAGAATTTGAGACAAAAATGAAATCATCTAAAAAAAGTGCATATTCAAATGAAAAATTGAGACTTTGACAGATAGGCAAATCATATTTACAAACTTGATGTGGAAGACATTTTACTGTACTGACTTGTCCTGCTGTGAATTAGCTGGTATCCTACTTTGAGTGTTGGTAAATGGCCAGTGCCTTTGTGCTGTAGGACCACTTGAACATATCATTTGACTCGCCGAGAAGCTGGTCGATGGACTGGTTTGAACGTCCAAAAGAATATAGTGACGTTAAACCGTACTCTGTAAGTTTGCGAGCATGGCTTCAGGCGCCATCATATCAGAGTTATGTCCCTTTGTCAAAATTTAATTTCAGAGAAAAAATTCATTATGAACATTGGCATCATGAATTTTGCTTTGTTAGTTGACTTTTTTCTGTCTAATTTTCTGTCTGGTTTCAATGAATGAAGAGGGATATAGCTCTATCATGTAGCCAGCAGCTATGTTTGTCTTGTTTGCTGTAAAGACATCATATATCTGTGGTGGAATGCTAACTTGGTGTAGACGCTATTGAAATTTAATATTGAAGGAAGTTCAATATTCAGTGTTCAGTATTCAATTTTTCATTGTTTAAGGTAAGAAGTACATTCAAGTTAAAATTTATGATTTATTTGATTAATTATATGACATATTACTATTGTCACATCTATGTTATTTTCAACAGAAATATTCTTTCTATGCATTTTAAAAAATAAGAGTTTTTCAAAATTTGAGTATTTGAAAACAATAAATACAAATAAACAAAATGTAAAGGGATCTATCCATAGCCAATCATACACTTAACAAATGTTGCTATCTAGGAAATGTAGATGCACATCATCAAAATGAGAGATGGATACCTTTACAAGGGAAGTAACTCTAAACGAGAAAAACATCCTTTTGTTGCTTTACCTTCTGTATAAATTAAAAGGGTTAATATTATAAGAATAAAATGGAGCTCTGAAGCAGAAGTCTAATTGTTCAATGTTTATGACTGGTCCAGTGGTACATTTTACCTCAAATATCCCTCTTTTTATTTGATTTTCAAATGAGACTTTTTAGGTCACCTGAGCTTTAGCTCAAGTGACCTATTGCTATCCGTTTTCGTCCGTCGTCGTCCGTCGTCCGTTAACATTTTACATTTCAAACTTAAAGTCAAGTTCTGCTGGGCCGATTGAACTGAAAGTTGGTAGGAATGATCGCCTCATGGTCCTGACAAAGTGTTGTTATTTTTCGGGTCGATCAGAAATCCAATATGGCCGCCACGGCCGCCATTTTGAAAACCTATTTCAAACTTAAAGTCAAGTTCTGCTGGACCGATTGAACTGAAAGTTGGTAGGAATGATCGCCTCATGGTCCTGACAAAGTGTTGTTATTTTTCGGGTCGATCAGAAATCCAATATGGCCGCCACGGCCGCCATTTTGAAAACCTATTTCAAACTTAAAGTCAAGTTCTGCTGGACCGATTGAACTGAAAGTTGGTAGGAATGATCGCCTCATGGTCCTGACAAAGTGTTGTTATTTTTCGGGTCGATCAGAAATCCAATATGGCCGCCACGGCCGCCATTTTGAAAACCTATTTCAAACTTAAAGTCAAGTTCTGCTGGACCGATTGAACTGAAAGTTGGTAGGAATGATCGCCTCATGGTCCTGACAAAGTGTTGTTATTTTTCGGGTCGATCAGAAATCCAATATGGCCGCCACGGCCGCCATTTTGAAAACCTATTTCAAACTTAAAGTCAAGTTCTGCTGGACCGATTGAACTGAAAGTTGGTAGGAATGATCGCCTCATGGTCCTGACAAAGTGTTGTTATTTTTCGGGTCGATCAGAAATCCAATATGGCCGCCACGGCCGCCATTTTGAAAACCTATTTCAAACTTAAAGTCAAGTTCTGCTGGACCGATTGAACTGAAAGTTGGTAGGAATGATCGCCTCATGGTCCTGACAAAGTGTTGTTATTTTTCGGGTCAATCAGAAATACAATTTGGCTGCCATGGCCGCTATTTTGCTACTAAGTTCTAATAGGCCGATCTCACTTAAAATTGGTCTAGGAATGATCAGCTCATGGTCCTGACAAAGTTAAGTTAACATTATACTATTTTTTACTCAAATTGGTACATATTTCAACAACAAAAATAAATACTGTAGACTCAGGTGACCGTTTAGGCCCATGGGCCTCTTGTTTATGTAAAGATCTTAAAAGCTGTGTGTTTGGCATACTTATTGCTTGATGATGCAATATTTCAAGTAAATGCGTAGTATTATAAACTATTCTCATTGCCTTATACAGACCAACAAGTAGAATGCATAATACTTTTTTTTTTTTTTTAGTTTTATTTACATCCTCAGTAGATTTGTTTTACATTATTCATGTAAAGCACAATTTTCCAAATATCATAAATATAAATTTCACATCATTTTAATTCGTTGATATTTTGAATGGCATGTTTGCACAATTTAGTTTATTCAAATTCATCGTATCTTATGTTTATTTATAACATCCTTTTTAATCTCTTTTGTTTTCATTGGTTTACAAAAAGATGTCCAAAGTTTAAATTAAAAATTGACACTAGAAACCTGAAGAGCTTCCTTTCACATAGTTAAATTTTTCATAGATGTTTGAATTTTCTAAACCAACAACTGAATGATTGAAAGAGATAAATGCCTGGTCATCAGTCTATCTTATTGCAGCTTGTGCACCTCAAGTGCTAGAAGTGCTGTTTAAAGCATAGGTTGTGGCCCTTATGTTTGTTCTTAACAGGTTTTGTCTCGGCCTTACCTTGTTGATTTGACATTATTAATATTTCCTATTTATTCAAGGTGTTAGAACATACTTGTGTGAGCTAGCCTTACTGGACTTGTGAAAGTTTATAACACTTTGTTTCACCAAACTTTTGACTTCAGCCATCGAAATTGGTCAACCAACTGACTGCTGAAAACTAAATTGTGTTAGTGGAAATGTCCCATACCAAAGGATGCTAAAATATATTAAATAGGTATACAAAGCATTGTACTTATATTTATCATTTGCGAAATTTTTTGTTTAGCGCAAATATCATTAGTTACGGAATATCCATACATATCTGACCAATCAAATGCTTTTAAAAGTTTGGTAAATGAGTGGATATTTGCTGCTAGAGATTGCAGATTTTATGTTTTTGACTAACACTCTGTAGCCCACAGCGTGAGGTGGTGTATAAAAAAGGATGGGAGTTTCATCAAGGAGCAACACGTTCAAGAAAAAATACACATTGAGAATTATAAGCAGGTAATCTTTTCCCTATAAACGGCCTATGGCAAACCTTTATGTGATGTAGATGCGGAAAAGGACAGAAAGAAATGACGAATACAATGAATTTTTGAGAAATAAAGAGGACAAACAAAGATCAAATTCAGCGGATAGGCGCCCTCCACTCCCCCGGGAACGGGAACGTCCAAGATCTGTAAGTAATGTACTGCAAATTATCTCCCCTGTTCTAGGGCTTGGACCAATTCACCTTTCAATAATGTATTGCAGCAGAGAAGTTTACCCTATACCAGATTTTCTGACATTATAAAACTTGGATGACCTGAGAAGAAAGTTTAAACAATATGATACATTGTTTTGCTAGACAGCTATAGTTTGCCAAGTTCTTACCTATAGCTTTATGTATATATCACGATACCATGGAAAATGTATTGATTTTCTCCCTATAGTGCATGCTCTATAGTATTTCAAGTCTTGTGCTCTGACAATTGTTCTTCTTGTACTTGTGGACTAAGGACCCTGCTACTAGGCATTAAACATCATCTGTATTATTCATTAAATCTGCACTTCATTCAAACTGACTCGCTGGCTTCACAGGTCTGTGATAGTACCAGATAAATCAATTGAAATGTCATCATCAGTATACCCAGTGGCCTTGCAGTATGTCAGTAATAACCAGTGGTGAATAAACCATTTTAAATAATAGATGAACGAAATATACCCAGGTCTTCAGGTAGTGGGCGTAGTATATGTATATATACACTCTGTATGTATGATGGTCACTCACCAGTCGTGTACAATGGTCAGTTTGATGGGTTCAAAGCGTTTCCTCATCTCGCTGTCTGTCCAATAATTAGCCATCAGTGTTTGAGAATTGGTGGAGTGAAATGTTAGGATAGGGCACAAACAAAGGAATGTATGGATAGGTTCCTGGAAAAAAACACAGGTTTCTTATATGTAAGTACATATTGTATTTCAGCTTTGCAGATTGAAATGCCTGGATATAACATATAGTCCTGATCAATGCAAAGTTTTGCTCAAAATAGCTGCAACATCACAAAATTATTTCAGCTTTGCAGATTAAAATGCCTGGATATAAATATAACATATAGTCCTGATCAATACTAAGTTATGCTCAAAATAGCTTCAACATCATAAAATGTTATTAACTAAATCATGATTTAGCTACGTGATGATTGGAACACGTACTTAAAAAAACCAGCTAAGTTAGGAAGTCTTTTAATTGAATTAAGGGGAGATAATGAGTTTCAAAGGGGAGATAATTCTTCTTGTTTTGATGACTGTTTTGTTTTTTTGTCATGCTGATATATAATTAGATGCTAAGGAAGATAATGATCTTTTTTTCTATTGTGTGATGATATGAAGGTAAATAAGCTATAGAGACACAAAACCTGTCTTTTGTGCTTGACCATAGTTTTGGTCCAAAGGCATTTAAATGCTTGATTAGTTGTCTATGGACAATAGTAATCATGTCAGAAATGGTTCTCTGTGGTATGTGTACAGGCAATAGTCGCCATTTTGAGTATAACAGCATGGCCAGGTATGTGTTTTATAGTCTGGCATATTAACAGACATTTTTTACTCGCTTCACCTGGAAACATTTCTCTACCAACTCACCAATGACTGACTTATAACTATTATTTGGGATTTACACATTCTTGTTTGGTAAGTTTTTTGTTATTATATCTATGATAGACAATAGTACATGTAAATAGATACATACTTGTTAACCCCAAATGTATTGTGTAACAGGGAACAACAGTGTAAAAATGTTCAGATAAACAAAATTGATATTTGGTCAGAATGACATTTAGCAATCATAAGATATTCTAATGCAAACATTTTTTTCGTGAGATAAATGATTAAAATTATAATTTGATAAAACAAAAACAAAGAAAATTAGAAAACACCAGTAATATTATATAAAAGACTGAAAATCAACAATACCTATACATTTTCCTAACTCCCATCCTTTTCAGACTTTGTAAACTTGTTTAGCACTAAGGAATTGGCTGGATAATACTAACAGTGTAGCTTGTCTGTGTGTTCTGTCTGCTTGTCCGCCAGAAGGAGATTCAGTGATTGATTTTATTACATGTATTAATTGCATTGAATCCTAATTTATTTTTTAAACAAAATTGAAAAGATGTTCAAAATATTAAAATAAATCATACAGAAAATGTTTTTAAGACAGTTGAGAATGTTCATGGTAATTTCATGGTTATTAAAGTGTAAAAAGGAAAAACACAGATTAAAAACAACATTTTGCTAAGGAATGGACTATTTTTAGTAAATCAATATAGACTGTTACAAATACTGTATAGATATTGAAATAAGTAAGTGTAGACTTGTTGTGAGGTGGTAATAACTAGACTTGCTAGATGTTTGGACTATCTTGGTTTTTAACTATACATCAACACAGAGACATGGAAGGAATTCCCCACAACAGGAGGAGGTTCCTAGGTTAGACCTTGGGGGTGGTGCCCAGCCACCTACACTTCGTCGTAAACAGAAGGTACATATCTATCCTACTAACATAGCCTAGAACTGGGTCTAGCTCCCCAACCCAGGCCACATCCATGTCCTTAATTAAAACAATTAACCTGGATCTGTGTTCTTGGTATTGTCATCGCCAACCCCCCAACCTGACTGACAGCCCCCCAACCCCTCAACCCTTAAAATCCTCAAACCCTCAACTCATCAACCCCTCAACCCCCCATTCCCCAACCTAAAACTGAAAGGACATCCAAGTCTTCAGTAACATAACCTGGATCTGTGCTCTCCATCCCCTCCACCCCCCGAGGGTACATCCCTGTCCTNCCCCCCTCTATAGGGCATATCCCTGGCCTTACATTAACATTATCTGGACCTGTTTCCCGTTCCCCAAACCAAGGGTACATCTTTGTCATAATTATTATAACCTGCGACTCCAAGCCCTAACAGATACCCCTGTGTATTGATAAGATAACCTGGGCTTGTGTCCAGCCCTCAGACTGAAGGTATACTCCATTCCTCATTAACATATCCATGGACTTGCCCAGAAAACCCAGGGTATGCCGCTATCCTTATTAACATAACCAGGATCTGTGCCCCCAACCCCACAAGGATCCTTTTAATTATGACATCCTTACTAAGAAACTGAATGCTGACATCCTTATGAAGATCCTGGATGATATGACATCCATACTAAGGCCTTGAATGATTACATCTTTACTGAGGCCCTGAATGATTACATCTTTACTGAGGCCCGGAATGATTACATCTTTACTGAGGCCCTGAATGATTACATCTTTACTGAGACCCTGAATGATTACATCTTTACTGAGACCCTGAATGATGACATCCTTACTGAGACCCTGAATGATGACATCCTTACTTAGAACTAAATGATGACATCCTTACTAAAAACTAAAGGATGACATTCTAACTAAAAACTAAATGATGACATTCTTACTAAAAACTAAATGATGACATCCTTACCGAAACCCTGAATGATGACATCTTTACTAAAAACTAAATGATGACATCCTTACTAAAAAACTAAATGATGACATCCTTACTAAAAACTAAATGATGATATCCTTACTAAAAAACTAAATGATGACATCCTTACTAAAAACTAAATGATGACATCCTTACTAAAAAATTAAATGATGACATCCTTACTAAAAACTAAATGATGACATCCTTACTAAAAAACTAAATGATGACATCCTTACTAAAAACTAAATGATGACATCCTTACTTAAAAAAAAAAGATGACATCCTTTCTAAAAAAATAAATGATGACATCCTTACTGAAAACTAAATGATGACATCCTTATTAAAAAAATATATGATGACATCCTTACTAAAAACTAAATGATGACATCCTTACTGAAACCCTGAATGATGACATCCTTACTGAGACCCTAAATGATGACATCCTTACTAAAAACTAAATGATGACATCCTTACTAAAAAGTAAATGATGACATCCTTACTGAAACCCTGAATGATGACATCCTTACTAAAAACTAAATGATGACATCCTTACTAAGAAACTAATTAATGTTTATCTTTCCTTAAAATAAACTACTTTTGGTGATGCCCATTTCCAAAACTAACTCTAAAATAAAACCTCTACTTAAATTAACCATATGGCAATATCCTGATACCAACTATTTGATGAGCTGTACATTTAAGGCAATGTGTTGACAATGTGTAGACCAAACTTCTCCATGTACTTTGATCTGAACTAAAACAGAATTGAGTTGGCCCATATTTAACGTTTGATGACATCTTTAGTCTGACTCGAACATCTATGCCCTAATTTTACTGATTACTTAGAGAAACATTTTTTTGGGAGAATTATACATTGCAAAGTATTGAAAAATTGTCTTTAACATTATAAATATTATTGTGTCAATGGTTTATGTGAGGGTACTGTAATAGTAGCCTGGTATATGACAGTGGTAGACCGGGGGTTCCTGAAGTACTGTAATAGTAGACTGGTATATGACAGTGGTAGACCGGTTGTTCCTGAAGTACTGTAATAGTAGCCTGGAATATGACAGTGGTAGACCGGGGGTTCCGGAAGTACTGTAATAGTAGCCTGGTATATGACAGTGGTAGACCGGGGGTTCCTGAAGTAGCATGTCTATATATATATATACAGGTACTAGATCAGTTATAGAGATGAGTTCATACTATCAGGTACTATAAATAATGTAGCTGTGTACAGATTCAAAATAACGTTGGGTTAACCAATCTTCCATAAATATATTGACAATGTAATCTATTGATGTCAGTGGTTTAAAAGGATCCTTGATCGTATAGTCCTATCTACTTCAGAGTAATTAATAAACCTGTGTTTACATGTTTAATTCAAAACTGGCGCTGTTATTAGTAAAATAACAGCATGCAATAGATTGATCGGAGCAGAGTTACTGGACATAAACATGTTGTCAAATTACACTGGGTCAGATTACACTGGGTCAAATTACACTGGGTCAGATTTCACTGGGTCAAATTACTCTGGGTCAGATTTCATGCATGAATGTTTGTTGGACTTGGTGAACATATTTCTGCATTAAGCAGGTTTCAATTTAGACAGGTTTATCTCCAAGTGTAGATTCTTTTCTTGTTGGTAATGCATGTTAACAAGTAATTTGTAATGTCACAAATTGATAAACATGTGTACAGGACAAATGATTTGTGTCTTGACATTACTTTGTAGGCATTGTCTAATGTTAATGAAAACTGTTGCATGATACTCCTACCTGTACTGTACTTTGTTTACAGATTGTTATAAAACTTTTGTTTCTACTTAGGTCACTGGCACTGTTGTGTAAACGTTATAGAAAAATATGTCCTTTTTGTTTTAATTAGTGCCAGTACTTAATGAAATAAGTGCATGCACCAACACATTATAAAATTAGTATAACACTTTATCACTTTCAGTCACAATCATTTTGTCATTTCCTATATCTTAGTACACAGGTCTGTCACTGTAATTCACTAAAGGAGAGTACCTATCAAAGTAGGAAAGATATAGGTATACTTAGTACACAGGTTTGTTAGTGTAGTTCACTAAAGTAGAGTACCTATCAAAGTAGGAAAGATATAGGTATACTTAGATCACAGGTATGTTAGTGTGATTCAAGTCAAGGTAGGACCAACGTAGGGATGATTTGGTATACTTAGTACACAGGTGTGTTATGTATGTATGTGTATGCATTTTGACACAACACTGGGTCAGAGTCAGATATATGCCAGTTTCTCTTTACCCTTACTATACACTAACTGACTACAGTTATCATCAGTTCAGAGTTGGATTACACCAATAATATAAACGTTTTCAGACATACTATTTTATAGCAAAGAATGGTATGATGAAGTGAAAGTTAAAACTTAAAACGTTTTTGATGATATGATTTACATCAGATTATGTTTCTAATGTAGATTGGATAAATGAGTTTTGAAGTTTTTATCAGCCAAGTGGAGAAGTTGACGACTTTAAGGCACAATCACCACTGGATTGTTTGCATGTTTATTCTCATTGTTTTTTCCACGTTACAGCAACCAGAGACGTTTGTGGCCTCACTGCCCGGCCTTCAGACCAACTCTGCCCAGGTACAAAACTTGGCCGTCTGCTTTCTCTTCATTTCTCAAAATTTAAAAAAAACGGAAATTTGAGTGTAGGGAGATTTTCCTATGTTATCTTTAAAATCATTCTTTAAAAATTCTAATATATTTAATTTTACAACGATTATGCAACAATTTCTATCAACTCTGAGATTTTGTATGGAGATTTTCATGAAGTTAATGCAGCAATATATACAATACATAGTGTGTCACTAGGTTGGTGCTTGTATATCTTACACATATTTAGTAAACTCAAAATCGATAAAAAAATATAAGCATATCTCGCCATAAAAATGTCCATTTTCATAGTTGCCTGTCTTGACTAACAGGCATGATAGTGATAGGAATATTGTGTGAAAAAAAATAATGGCATGATTAATATTGATAGCATAAATATGAAAAAAAAATAGATGCATGTTTTCTAGACCTGCGAAATTAAAAATGGGTCAGCTTGAATCATACTTTCTTTAATTGAGGTTGATAAAGGGGAATAACTCAAAGGGGAGTCAGTTTGAAGTTAGATGAAATAGAGAGATATAACTCAAAAAGGGTAAATTAAGGTAATACATTGTAATAAGGGTAAATGAAAAAAAGGTGTGATTTGTTAAGTTGTAAGAATTATAATGCTAGTTGAAATAAATACATATAGGAAATTTTGTGTCACAGATCGAGAGAATTTGAATTTTGAGATTGTAATTTATAACTGAAATGTAATCTGTATAACAGAGAAGACGTAAGGAGGAGGAGAGAAATAGAGAATACAATGAAATGTTGAAAAAGCAGAAAGGCAGAGGTGTAAGTAGTGTGTAGTGCTGATTGCTGCAGTGTGAATCACTGTGTTTTTACTAACAGCGCCACCTATATATACTAGAGCCACACCAACTGTAGTTATCTCCCTTTTATTTCAGTTTAGTCAGCACATAGTGTCTGTGTATTTGTATTTTGTTCTTAAAAACCATTCTGTTATCACATATTTTGAAGAAATTGAAAATGATAGATATATTTATGTGCAATAGTTCGTCAATTTATCACATGCATGATTCACGTTTAATAAATTTTAAAGGTCACAAAATTTTCAGTTCCAACTATATAATTCATGATTTTCAAGTACCTAATTTTCTTGAGTGGTAATGAAATTAACCAAAAGTTGGTGAATCAGTGCAAAATAAGATAAATACTGAGATTTAAATAAAGTTTTGGAGTTTGACTTTTTATTTCTGACTGTCTATTAACCTTTTGGTGGATACTAATTCCATACCATAATACTACAAACAGTAAACTATTTTCTTACACTGTAAATGGAACATTCAATAAATACTCTTTCCTGTCAATCATAGTAATATACTAACAGCACAAGTAAAAAAAACACATATCTCTTAAAGCTTATCACTTTGATTAATTTTAGTTTTCTTTTTCCTTATTATCAATTAATATAAGGACATCAGAAATTCTTCATATTTATAGATCTGTTCAACACAGTTCAACACCATTTCTCTTATTTTGGTTTGGTTGGTTCCAATTATCGATCCCTTGCCTGGATATCACCCATTATGCAGGGCGATCGAAGAAAAGGGCAAACAAAGTACAGAAGTCAATCACAACAAGCTCAGGATTAGTTGGGTTTTATTTATAAGTAAACGTCTACTGGTTTCGCCCCAACAGTGATCTTGAAGAAACCGGTAAATGTTCCCTAATAAATAAAACACAACTTGTCCCAAGATTGTTGCGTTTGACTTCTATACTTAGATCTGTTCAATATATAAAAAAGATTGTTTTCAAACTTATATCAGGGTTATATTAAGTTTTAGCCAATCATAATAATAAGAACACTGATTTAGGTGCATATTGTGGTATGTATCTAGTAAGCCTAAATTTTATAGATAAAATATCTATAAAGTTAAATGCTGTTCATAAACATCAAATGTGTATCTAGATGTAAAAACATGCATATAATATGCTATTTTTATTTACCCTTCATCTTATAGAAGTGATGTTGCTTTAACAAACAAAAATATAGATAGAAGTTTTATGTGTATCTAGTTAGTTTCGTTTGTTTTCTTTTTACAAATTATTATTTGAAAGTGTGTTGCACATGTGTTGTTAATATAAGTGTATTTATAATCCTGTCTCATTGTTCTCAGAATCGTAACACAACAAATATATCAATTGATAAATTTTTAAAAGTAATTAAGGAATATTTGAACCGCTAAAATGACCTCATTTTAATTGTTGAACTATTTTAGTAGTTATTTATTTATTAAGTTGTCATATCATTTAAGTGAAAATGTAGTTTTAGAATTGTTTGTGCCGAGTAAGATATGCTGCCTACGAGTAATTTAATGCTTCTGTATGTATAATTATTGAGTATGATATGCTGCCTACGAGAAATTTAATGCTTCTGTATGTATAATTATAGAGAAAGATATGCTGCCTACGAGAAATTTAATGCTTCTGTATGTATAATTTAGAGTAAGATATGCTGCCTGCGAGTAATTTAATGCTGCTGTATGTATAATTATTGAGTATGATATGCTGCCTACGTGTAATTTAATGCTTCTTTTTGTATAATTATAGAGTAAGATATGTTGCCTACGAGTAATTTAATGGTTCTGTATGTATAATAATAGAGTAAGATATGTTGCCTACGAGTAATTTAATGGTTCTGTATGTATAATTTAGAGTAAGATATGCTGGCTACGAGTAATTTAATGCTTCTTTTTGTATAATTATAGAGTAAGTTATGCTGCCTACGAGTAATTTAATGCTTCTGTATGTATAATTATAGAGTAACGTTACTGTGCTGATAGAAATATAAATGGTCTTGTGGGTATCGAACACAGTAAGGTGTAAGAGTATAGTTCCAGGGTTGACAATTGTACTGTTCAGCAGTACCCAAGTGTGGACTAGACAGAGTACACTAAAACCCTGTTATAGTGCCATCGTTTGTCTTAAGGGTTATGGCTATATTCGACTTAACAACAAACTGAAGGGAAAACAAGAGAGAGAAAAAATCCATCATTTTTGACAGTATTTGAGATGGCAAATGGAAATAAAGGAACCACTTCACATGTACCAAAAGGTACTGTTGGGTATAAATAGTCCGAAATCATGATTAACATGGATGCTGTTGGTAACAAGTTAACTGTACCATCATTTGCCGAGATGAATTACATCAGTGAATTATTTGTTTTGGGTCTAGTAAATTAGAAAAATATAATGGTTTGGTTATATTTGATATTGGAAATTTCTTAGCTTTGTTAAGCATTGGTTGGCAGTGTCAGATGTTTGACAGTATTTTAACACTAATTTGCTTATGGGTGCAGGTTCAGCTCCCAGTGTTGTGGACAGCATTTGTCAGAACTCTAAACAGGGTGTTAAATCAATTCTATAGATATTAAAAGTCCTTTGGGGCAGCTTTTAATGAAAATATTTATTTCTGCATCCTATTTAGTAATTGTATGAGAAGTCAATTTTGTTTGCCACTGTTGTTTCAGTGTAGTGTCTCTGGGAACATTAGACAGTGTATATCTATGGTGTAGTGTCTTTGGGAACATTAGACAGTGTATATCTATGGTGTAGTGTCTTTTGGAACATTAGACAGTGTATCTCTATGGTGTAGTGTCTTTGGGAACATTAGACAGTGTATATCTATTGTGTAGTGTACAGGTACGTATTGGGTAAATCTGTGTGTCACATATTACATTCCAAATTGGGTAAGTGAACATACCAAACAACACTGATACCATTCATTAAGTGGTGGGTTATAAATAAATGGAGTTTCATTTAAATCTCCCGTGTTGACCTCAACACGTTTTAATGTTGTTGTGACTGTATACAGGTATTGGTTTTAGGGTTTAGGCCTGATGTGTCAATATCGCTGCAGATAAACCACAGCCATTTCTAAATATGGTGGTCTTATGTTCTACCTGTACAGAATATTGAAGGTTTGTCTTAAAAAAGTGTAGCTGTTAGTCCTGGAAGTAGAGCAGTAGATTTGTCTACAGTCCTGGGATGTAATTCAGTATTTTAGTGGATGTTTACTTAACAGAAGTGCCTGGATTCTTGGAATGTGCCCATTATTGAATGGAATGTGGCTTGATAATTGTATTTTATGATTTGATGGTCATTCGTAAGCCATTCCAGCCATTTGGATTTCTTTTTTGAAGAATTCCTTTGATAAGTATAATGTACCAGGGTCACATGGTGTCCTGTTGGTATTCTGGCGTACACAAGAATCTACTGTTACCAAAGGACTAGTCTACAGGAATCTGCTGTACCTGATGGACTTGCCTTAAAGGATCATAACTCTTCTGATCCAGGGACAGGATTCTTCTGTAGCAAAGCCAAGTACACAGAGGGTTCTACTCCACCTAGTAGAACCAGTATATACCTCGGTAATTCTACTGAACCCAGTAGAGGATTCTACTGTTAAGATGTAGTGCATGTTTTAAAGCCAGGATATATCAGGTAGTGCTTGTGTAGTTCTAGGAGCTTAGTGTAGTGTAGTGTAGTCATTGTCTGGCAGTAAGGTAATGGCCTATGTGTTACAGAGGGGGCGAGGCTCCCCCCGGGATGCACCCCCGGAGACGAGGCGGGGATGGCAGACCCCCACCTATGACGAAATCCTGGAAAAGAAACGTAGAGAGGAACGGCAGTACAGGTACGGACAGTGTTTATTTCATACCTAGATACTTACTTAATAACACAGTAGACCAGGTAATACTTTAATAGGCTAGTTTAATTAAATTAAAAGGCCAGATTTATTTACTTACACATTTTTAGGAACAGGAAAAGAATTCATTACTGTAATATAGTGAAAAGTCCATGTACTTGAAAAGATATCCTACTTAATGTCCACCATCTGAAAAAAAGAAAGATTTGGCACAGTGTGTTGTCAATATGATGTCAAGTGAAGCAATTTAATTCTAAATTGTTTTATTTTTTTGCTTTTAGTTTGATCAGTAACATGATCCTCCTAGTCAACTGTGAACATATAAGCAGACTCTTTATATAACACCCCTCCCCCCTCGAAAACAAAGTTAATATTGCCTCTAAAATTCAGAATTAAAGTAACAGATCATCTTTCACCATTTACTTATAATGACAACAGAAAAATTGAATTAGCAGAAATCCAGTCGTGTGCTTGACATATACATTGGAAAGGCAAGCAGTGTAAATGTTGACAAATTTAATTTTCAGGAGACAAGAGGAACCTTACGGGGACAACAGAGGCATGAGACCATATGCTAGTGAGGGTGCCATAAACAGAGTTGGGGTAAGTACGGTAGTGAGGGTACCATAAACAGAGTCGGGGTAAGTACGGTAGTGAGGGTGCCATAAACAGAGTCAGGGTAAGTACAGTAGTAAGGGTGCCATAAACAGAGTCGGGGTAAGTACGGTAGTAAGGGTGCCATAAACAGAGTCGGGGTAAGTACGGTAGTGAGGGTGCCATAAACAGAGTCAGGGGAAGTACAGTAGTAAGGGTGCCATAAACAGAGTCGGGGTAAGTACGTTAGTGAGGGTGCCATAAACAGAGTCGGGGGAAGTACGGTAGTAAGGGTGCCATAAACAGAGTCGGGGTAAGTACGTTAGTGAGGGTGCCATAAACAGAGTCGGGGTAAGTACGGTAGTGATGGTGCCATAAACAGAGTTGGGGTAAGTACGCTAGTGAGGGTGCCATAAACAGAGTCAGGGTAAGTACGGTAGTGAGGGTGCCATAAACAAAGTCAGGGTAAGTATGGTAGTGAGGGTGCCATAAACAGAGTCGGGGTAAGTACGGTAGTGAGGGTGCCATAAACAGAGTCTGGGTAAGTACGGTAGTGAGGGTGCCATAAACAGAGTTGGGGTAAGTACGCTAGTGAGGGTGCCATAAACAGAATCGGGGTAAGTACGGTAGTGAGGATGCCATAAACAGAGTCGGGGTAAGTACGGTATTCTCCTGTACGTCATTTATTTTACAGTAGGATCAAAGGGTTTCATCATTTGACTTCAAAATGTTCTGTGATGAGCAAGGCTACTGAAAAGAACATGTTTTATAGTGTTGGTATATATATATATATATATTTATGCATGTTTTCTCACTGATACTTTAAAGAAGTATAGGTATTGATGAGATGTGTTGACTTTACAGGTAGATGAAGTAAAGATGAGGGACCTAGATCGGGAATACGAGCAGAGGTAAGTTAATGTACTTATTGTGTATAGCAAGTCTTTTATTTCAATGATGGATGTACATTTTATTTATGATCCAAATGTACCATTTCCTATTGCGGTTTGATAAAGAATTGTTTATATTGTTATAAAATATACATTTCTGAAGAGTGGTATTAAGAACTAATAGAAATGATTGTTTAATTGTAATTTGTGTAAACATTGTAATATTTGATCCTGTAAATGAAGAAATTTTAGTAATGTAATTCAAGAAATGGATAATATTAAAGAAAATCACCAATTTGATAAATTATTGGGTGAAGTAATTCTCTTTTATCCCATTTTATATCCTAAAATAACTTACCTCAAAGGTGTCAGACAACCATATGAATCCTGACTTTCAAAGGTGTCAGACAACCATATGAATCCTGACTCTCACAAATCCTGACTCTCAAAGGTGTCAGACAACCACACAAATCCTGACTCTCAAAGGTGTCAGACAACCACACAAATCCTGACTCGCAAAGGTGTCAGACAACCATACAAATCCTGACTCTCAAAGGTGTCAGACAACCACACAAATCCTGACTCGCAAAGGTGTCAGACAACCATACAAATCCTGACTCTCAAAGGTGTCAGACAACCACACAAATCCTGACTCGCAAAGGTGTCAGACAACCATACAAATCCTGACTCTCAAAGGTGTCAGTCAACCATATGAATCCTGACTCTCAAAGGGGTCAGACAACCATATGAATCCTGACTCTCAAAGGGGTCAGACAACCATATGAATCCTGACTCTCAAATGTGTCAGACAACCATATGAATCCTGACTTTCAAAGGAAATAACTTACCTCAAAGGTGTCAGACAACCATATGAATCCTGACTTTCAAAGGGGTCAGACAACCATATGAATCCTGACTCTCAAAGATGTCAGACAACCATATTAATCCTGACTTTCAAAGGTGTCAGACAACCATATGAATCCTGACTCTCAAAGGTGTCAGACAACCATATGAATCCTGACTTTCAAAGGTGTCAGACAACCATATGAATCCTGACTCTCAAAGGTGTCATTCAATCATACAAATCCTGACTCTCAAATGTGTCAGACAACCATATGAATCCTGACTCTCAAAGGTGTCAGACAATCATATGAATACTGACTCTCAAAGGTGTCGGACAACCACACGAATCCTGACTCTCAAAGGTGTTGGACAACCATATGAATCCTGACTCTCAAAGGTGTCAGACAACCATATGAATCCTGACTCTCAAAGATGTCAGACAACCACACGAATCCTGACTCTCAAAGGTGTCGGACAACCACATGAATCCTGACTCTCAAAGGTGTCGGACAACCATATGAATCCTGACGTTTAGATGATGCTTTGTCATACAAAATTAATCGTCAACTTTTCTTATTTGATTTATTAGACCAAGGTAATCTCCCTTTGATATGACAAGGATTATCTGCCCTTGGATTTTCGTTTAAATATGAAGTTTTCTATTCAGGAGTAGGAGGAATGAGAGATCTGACAAATTGTCTGCTGTCAAACAAGAATATCGTGACCTGGTATGAGGACACATCTGTGTCACCCAGACTCTATTCATTGCTTCTCCCCAGCACAAACCTTCCTCTATGTTTTAGCTACTGCCATTGTCAATCTTACAAACCAACCAATGTTCCTGCTACAGAGAATGGTGAATTTTTTGACATAATTGTTGATAAGCTTGTTTGTTAACTTAGCAGGCTTTTTGGAAATATCTTTATCAAATATTGAACTTTCCAGTGATTTTTTCAGTCAATCTCTGTGAGGAAAATGGTTTGTTTTTTTAAGGTTGAGTATGGTCATGATCTGTATTATTTTATGATGTATATAAGATATAGTTTCTAGTGTTTGCAATATTTCAGGAAACAGGACCAAAGGTCACACTTATCATCAGAATAATCAGAAAATGCCAGTATAACCGCAGATTTGTTTCATTTCAAAACATTGAATTGATCCTCTTCAATCACAAATCATAGCATTTGATGAGGGGTGGGGATGGAAATAGGGTCGAGACCAACAATAAAGACTGTTTTTATTGTACCAAGTAACTGATTTTGGTGACATTTGGTTGTGTTATAGTTGTGCTGAATGTTGTACTCACAGGTATAGCCTTCTGTATGTCCTCCTACCAACACTTACCCATTACCCGGGTACAGCTCTCCAACACTGCTGCCTGGCAATCAGTGGCGTAACGGTTTTGGTTGATATATGTCTCTGTTGAGGACGTGACAAACAGAAGGCAGTACCGTTCAACAGTAGATATTTATATATTAGTATTTAATGATTTACCCCTGTTTTACTCAGTGAAAAGTTCAAGGTATTTTTGTTCCAAATATTTTATTTCTTCAAATTTCTTTTGGAATTGATTTCTACAAATTTTGATAAATTTCCAAATTTTGTTGTATTTTAGTTACGTTGTAATATTTTGAAGAACATTACAAGTACTGCCGAAAAATGAAAATACAAATAAAATCTAGCAAAAGTTATAAAGGTTATAGGTCGACTGATTTCAGATTGAAGTTTGGAATAAAAATTAAAATAAAGAACAAATACCCCTGAAATTCCCTGATAAGGAACTGGTAAATCTTCTTTCTTTATTTTACGTGTCTATCACGGAGTAGTCATGATGTTGTATTTCATGTGATCAGGAGAGTGAGGTTCCAAAATGACCGATCAAAGGAACAAGGCATCTTAGACGATGATAATTGGTTAAGGACAGATGCAGCCAAAGAACAGCAATATTCCAAATTGGTAAATGTATTCTAATTTTGAAACTGATATTTTTATAATCGCTTATGAATATGCATGAAGATGTTGTTTTAGGTAGAACCCCATGTACCTTGTGTTTGGGAATCATCTAAAATTAACTGTAGTTAAAGCTTATATCATCCTTATGATATCATAATAAGAAAAGGTAAACATTTTAAAAAAACATTAACTTTTTTACAAAACTACAAAATTGTTATTTAAATGCCATTATACTCCTCTTGTCATATTCTGTATTGTCAATTTGTAACTATTTTCTTCCTTGTCTTAATATTCATCTATTGACATAATAATTATTAAACCTTTTGACAATTCCCTGCAATTTCCTTCCTGTCTGTGGTCTTTACATTAGATACCACCCTCCCTGCATGCCTGTTGTTATTTACTCGTGCTGTTCTACCGACAGCGTAACCTAATCCAACCCATAGCCCCGTATTTCAATTACTAGATGATGTATTGTCTATTTTAATCATCCTATGATATGATGCATGAACATTTTGATTTTTTAATGACCTAGACATTTCTGCCTTCATTTTGATCAACCCCAATTTAACATGTAACAAAAGAATTCTTGTTAAGATAAATATTGTAAGCCCAATAAAAGAGTGATTTAGTTGTATGGTCCAGGTTGTATATGAGAATGATTCGTGGCATGGTCCAAAGTGTTTGTGGTCATATTTCAGTATTTTAGAAAGTATCAAAACGTCCTATAGCATTATATGTCTTGTGCTGTAGACATTTTATTGTTGGAGATTTTCATTTCAACCTATTCTGAAAATACCTTATGCTTGGAGATACATTCAAGACAGGGGGACACTGTTTTGCCTATAAAATGGCTTCACATTACCGTGTGAATAACGTTTGATTGGCTTGTTTGTACAACAGCTTCAGGTGATCGGCGTGTCATTTCACCTGGATACGCCATGTCATTTAAACATTCCTGATCAATGTGTTTGACATGTTTTCCCCTTCCCTTGTCACCTGTGCTATCAAACTTAACAACTCAAGTAAGGTACCATTTTTGATGTGTTTTTTTTCAAAGCTCTATATTATTTATTATTGTCTAAGTAAAAGGAGAATGGCTTTGGATGTTTTTGAGGGGGGGGGATAAGACATCCTTGTAAATATACAGTTCAGAAGTTTCTAAATATCAGAAAAAAATTAGTGTTAATCTCTAGAGTTCTTAGTTTTGTGGTCCGTTTTACTATTTCTCTTCAATGGTATATATTTTTGTGTGTAACTTTTTGGAAGTGCTTGTTTGAAACTCTGTTAATGTACAAATCATACTGATTCTGATGTTGTATAGTAAGTACACTTTATGTACATTTCCTTTCAATATGTTTTTATGTAAAATGACTTCAATATCCAAAGTAAAATTATTTAAATGGCATGTAAAGAAAATATGTAAATATTAAAAAAAAAATCAAAATAGGCTCAAGTTGAATTTCTGTTTTAAAATCATTATATCACTACGTGTAGGTGCTATAAAATTAAAGATAGTCTAAAAGGCTCATCTATAAATAGATTTGTCATCTAAACAACGCTGACTAGCTTGCATGTGTCCTTTTTGTACCAACTAAAGGTCAAAAGGATAAGTGGACCAAAGGCTGAGGTAGGTATCCCATGTTGTCCTCATTTGTATTCCAAATTCAGGCCTGTTTTTCACATGTTTTCTCTGAAATTGTGCGCTGTATATTTGTTAATCACAAGACAAATTTCTGTTGAAGATTTTAGAACTGATAGCTTGGACCAAAATAATTTGCTTGATGACAAATTGGAAGTGTACACATAACCAATCTCTCTGATACTGAGCTACATGTATCAGGTGTTCTATTGCAGCATGATAGGTAAAATATGTAAAGTATGTTTAAAGCTTTCAGAAAGGACTTTTCTAAAAAGTCAAAGGGTCCAATAAAATGACAGAAGTATAAAATATCTTCAATTTAAATGTACCTGAAATATAACTGTACATATTCAATTTGATCGATACTATCTACCTGTTATGCAGAATCAAACTAGGTGCTGATATTTAAATCTCTTTAAGAAAGAAATCTAAAACAGCTACTGGCATATCAATTTTCCTGTATGCCATAGCTAAGTGTTTTAATTCTGTTCGATATTTCCTTTTTGTTTTAATCTGTATGTACTTGTAACATAAGTTCAATTTGAAGTAGAGGTCTTGGACCTTGTTATTTTGGTCGTTATGTAGTGCACAGTGTAAGAGAAAACATGAAGCCTGCCTGTTTGGTCATGTTTGGTTGTCAAAGGATGGAATAAAGTTAGAGATTTTTTTCCTATAAAACTTGGATCTTAACACATCATTAACAGTGTGTGCTTGTACATGTTCAATTCACTGGTTTTCTGAGAGTGAAAAATTCCATCACATTTTAACAAATTGTTTTGTTTGCTTTCTTTTTATTTGATTTTGTTACAATTAATTGACACCTTACAAAGGCAATGATAATGTTTCAGGAGTTCTGATTGGATTTTTCAAGGTTTTACTTGCATGGTTTTGTTTCATACAGACACATATGGTATATATTAATTATACACTGTAATGTTTGTCTGTGTTATTTTTACTTTGGAGAGATCAGTTCTCTTATTCAATCAACATGACAGCTGACACTATCTCAAATTTGCAAAGTACTGGCCGTTAAAAGTATATAATTTTTTGTAAATTTGAGATTAACAACCGAGCCAATTCCAGGCTGTGTACTACGCTCTGTTCAGGTCGTTATGCTGTTGATGCTGCGAGATTTATTCGACCTGATATAGAAACTCACAAAACAATTCATCAATTCTAGGGCTATTTGGATTCAAAGTCAGACTCAGAACTTGAAGAAAACTTTGGATACCGCCAAAGACAAAGAGAGGTATTGGGTCCACAGCATGCTGTATACCTAGTCTTGGCTTCAGCTCTTCTCGTGACCAAGTCTCCATGTCAATATTGTCATGTATATTCATTCCGTCTAGTGGTTGTACCACATCTGCTTCAAAAACTGTCATTGCTGATATAAAGTGTAGTATAGAAATAAGCATAATAACTGTAAGTGTTTATAAGTACTCCTTTTTCTGCGAACTTGTAACTGCTTCAAAATGTGTATTGCCTATAAACAGTAGTGTGTAGACTATGTAGTACATTATGATTTTCAGACTTGATTTTTTTCTTCAAAATATCAATATGAGATGGAACTGGGTTACCCGCAAAAAACAATCCCAACTTGGTCGGTCAGGTGAGGTCACACCTTTCCTTGTTTTATTAGGGAATCAAAGTTTCACCACCTCAAGGAAACATAAACTACTGTGACCCCAAACACCTTATATATCACCATACACATACATATGGTAATGTAGGAAACTGCAATAATTACTGATAATCATAAAATTGAATTTCACAAAATGGCAAAATTTATACTGTAATACAAATTAATGTCTCCTAGGAACAAAATTTGTATAGCTATGTATGATTTTTTTTTTGATTTTTTTTTGTAAAATTTAATTAAGCTGATTGGCGATATTCTATTGAAGACTAAATATTACATTTACCTGGCACTGTGCCCCGCATTTAGTGTTGCCTGTCACAATACATAGTGTATATTATAACATGTAAAATTATAATAGGTTATAAATAGGCATCAGTTCAATATTTACTATGTAGATTACAACTTTCAAACAGTTGCATGTCATGTTAACTAGTCTCAAAACTATTATCTAATTAATATGCATTAAAAATGAACAAAATAGAAAGAAAAAAATAGAATATTGAAAAGGGAAAAGAAACCTAGTTTAGACAGATATTCCTGGAAAACATTTGTAAAATGTTGATAAACTAAACAATCAACTAATGATATAAATTAGAGTCAGAGTAATTATTTTCTTACATCAGATTTGTTATCTTTTCAAATATGTTCATCCAGATCTTTGAAAATCACAATTTTAAAACATTTATAGAAATTCAACAATTAATAATATAGTCTGCTGAGTCAAATATTTTTTAGATTTCACTGAAAAAATCTGTTATATTTGTTTGTTCCCAATTTTGATTATTTACAGATTCCATCACCTCAAGGTGGTTGTAAATATTGATATTAAATAATTGTGTTGACAATTTGCATGCTGAAAAGCATGCTTTCAAATCAAATGAAAAATTGCCTTGATTACTAGACTTATTTCCTGATTGTAAACATATTATTTACTTTCCTGTCACATTGTGCCAGTGGCAAACCCACAGTGGCAGTTAGTATCAGGCAGATCTATATGTAGGAGAATGGCCATCTAATCGTATATCTTTTTTTCACCTAAGTAGCCCAGTGTTAATTTCTTACGATTTTTACCTGGTACTACTAATTACATACCCAGTGTATGGGCTATTTATAGTTAAGTGTTTACCCTCACTATACACATGTACAGTACTTATAGCAGCTGTTGTGGCCGTGTTCCTTGTTGCTATGTACTAGGTAAACGTCTAGAAGACAGTTTTGGTCATCCCCAAGTCAACCCCTGTCTCTGGCGGGGTGCGGTATATATACACCTTTCCCTGCACCCACCTTCGTTTCCATACCATGTGATTCTATATATATTGGTACTACTTTTAACCCTGTAGATGTCCCGCGGCTTACTGTTTACCCGTTGATCCACGACTACAAGCACACTACATTGAATTTCCATTCAATACACACGTATAGTAAAGTAGATCTGCACCATTGAAAACTTCGGCTATATCTCCCTGACTTATTGTGCTTGTACACAGCGTGCATGATTTGATATTTTTACCTACTGTATGTGTATGCATGACTTTACCGTAGAATGTTGATGTCGTTCTTACTTTTGATACTAGGTCATTTAAATTGATTAGTTCTGATGTTCTGAATAAAGAATTGCTAAGAGGCTCAGTCGCACTGCTTAGAGATGTTTGTTGACAGTTAAATTCACTGGTCACGCCTGAGTGACTGAACTTTGATCCGTAATTAACACTGATTGTTTAATATGCTGTAATAGAAAACATGTAGCAATTTGTGTTCTTAAAACGATCAGTGTGTTTGTAGTACCTGGTCGGGTGTACGGTGTGTACATGTATGGGGTATATATATATACCTGTAACGAACTTCAGGTATACCCGACAGGTAACCAGACCTAACGGGGGTCTCTGAAACCCTTACTTATACCTATGTAGTGATCTTGGCTGTGGAACAATCTTAAAGACAGTGGACATGGGGCTGTTATTAATGTGTGTGGATTATAGCTGTAGATAGTGCCTGATTCTAACAGATTGTGGTTTAATTTACCTGGATGTATTGTACAACTGTGATATTTCTTACCTGAAGTTAGAAGGACACACAAAGTTAATCCCCTTGGATATATTGTTATAGGAATGTTGTGACATTTTATGTCAGACAGAATTGAACTTGTCCGTGAAGTGATCGGTATCTCCGTGTATGTTTTATCCTTATTACCAAGATGTAAAGTATGGATTTAGTAAAAATCAACAACAAATAGTAAACTTTTACCGTAAAGGCAGTTCCTTGTGAGTTCTAAACTAAGTATTGATTATATTGGAATTCTCATTATTTCCCTGACCAGTACATGTGAGTTAATTGAGCTGATTGTAGATGTAATTGTGCTGAGTATACGGGAGGAAGGCGAGTGGTAATCGTGTGTTAATACAGTGTGGTATATGTTGTGAACCTACAGAACACAGAGGAAGCACCAAACCCGCGCCAAAAAGATATGTCACGACCCCCTGGGGATTTCTTCGCCACGCTACCTCTAGGTAAGTACCAAATCTGATCTTTTCTATGTACATGTTCACGGTATGATCCCTTTTATTCCTAAAATAATTGTCTTGTGTTGCTACGTTAATTACCCGACAGACTAACGAGTTTTAATTTCACTAGGGAGAGGTAGAAATTACAGGTGTGTGTATGTAACGGTAAAAGGTGGTGACAGGAACATCTTAAATATATCAGATATGGTTGTTTTGACTTGGACTTCATTTCAGTTGGTGGAAAGCTAATAATTAGTCTTACTTTGAGCTTTTCATACCTAACCTTAAACATGTAGCAGCCTATGTTTTGCTATAATAAGTATTCAGTTTGTATTGGGTATGGCATAGTTCGTTAGTCCTAACTGTCCCTAGTACGATACGATTTCTGCTGCATGTAAATCTATGTAAATGGAATTCATCTTAATTGGCCAATAGAGAAGATTATGTCTTATGAGGAAATATAAGAAGGATATGCTTCATTGCTTCAGATTAACACAAGATTGTAAATAGCATAGATGGGAAAGCTGTGTCCATTTCCATTACATTATAATGCAACAAAAAAAAATAACAAAATGTTAAAAATACATTTTATGGATTTTTTTTATGAAATTTTGCAATCAGTTTATAATCTAGTTATATATTCCTTCCAGTGTGATATTTGGGTAAAGGTCATCTGTATATGTATACGACCCTGAGGTCAAAGGCCATGCAGACAGAAGGTCCCAGCCTCCCTGTGTGCCGTGGTTCTATGTTAGGTTATATGTTAATGAGCGAGTTTTGCATTGTTTCCACAATTCACAGGTAAAAGTGAAGGAGGTATGTTATCACAGTAACCTAACCCAAACCCCTGTGTATGTGTTTGTATACGTACCAATAATATAACTTTGTACCTTTATATGTATATATACAACACCTGTAGATATATAATGATCACGATTGTCTGGAAAACCTTGCTTGTCACTGCTGACAAAATGGAATTTTTCGTAACAATATTTTTACAGGTGTAGATGTATAGATTTTCAAGTGATGACTAAATGAGATTTAATTATAGCCAGATTGAGTTTATCATCAAGTATATATGAGCTCCACTGAAAATAAACTCACAAGTTTTATAAATCCCAATGGATTCTTGAGGGATGAATATATCCAGTTCATCACATACATATGTATATATATAGCCCACATATATTACAGATTAGAATCACGACTTCATGCAGTGTTGAAGTGAAGTATGGTACTTATGTAAAAATGTGAATTCAATCCAAAAAATATATATTATCAAACCAATAATTTTGATTCTATTAAACAAAAAGGGAATTTTAACTTCACTTGTTTTGAACTGTTGTTGCTTATGAACAGAAAATTTACTGGTAAATACTGTCAAAACTGTTGGATCAAAATTGGGTAATATATGTGTAGCAAGAAGCAAATGAAGATGTCACATTTTCTCAAAATATGATAAGTGACATACAAAAAGTACAAACATAGTAGAATATTGTTATACAGGATATCAGGTATTGTACCTGGTGAATTTCAAAGAAATAAGACATAGAAATGATATATCTAAGTTAATTAAACAGAATCATATGATCAATACATGGTATTTATGTTTGACAGCTGATATAATAAGATAACATCTGATTTTGTTTATGCCAGATGTACCTTCAGTTTACAAAGGTTTTAACATCTATTTATGAAACATTAATGTGTGTTTGTGCTTGTTACATTTCTTATATTTTTTAGTTCATTTTGTTTATAATTAATTCTTTATTCTGCTGTGTTGAACATTCATGGAATCCTCTAAAACGGACTTGAAAACAACAAATCAAAATCATACAAATTTCTTCAGCTTAAAGATATCAATATATGGATTCAATTCAAAATTAGCAATATGCATAAAAATTAATGATGCTGTAACACAGATCTGTATCTATGCTGAATTCTAGATTTTATTGTAAAAACAGTATAGCTACATACAATTAAGCAAATTCAAGTCAAATCAGTTTTCAGGAAGATTTCCTGCAAAATTCTGTCGCCTAGACGTCAATAAATAGAAATTATCATGCCAAACACACTCATCTGAATCCTCAACCCCATGAAGTCATCATGCATGTACTTTAAAAATGGATTTCGGTTTTATTGGATTTACCCACCATTGTGTTATTCACTGTGAGTTTAACATTCACAGATTTCTAAACTGTACAATCAGCTGAAAAATAACTAATATTTTGATTAACATTTAAAACTAGCAGAACGCCGAGATAGAGGTGAGAATGATTTACGATTGATTCCACTAGTTGTCTCCCCTTGGGTGGAGGGGATACAGAGTTAGAGATTAGAGATCTATGTTTATATGCACTATAATGTTACATGTAAAGACCAATCCCTTTATATTGTTCAACATGCACCTTTTTACCACAGAAGCATCCTAGATACTCCAGGAATTACGCTCACTTACGCTCTCTGCATCCCTGGAATATGTCAGCAAAATTCAAGGCATGTGGCTAGCAATTTGATTGGTCTCAGGTTAAAAAAAAAAGACCAATCGCTAGGCTGGTACATAGGAGCGACACCCGACTTCAGAGCCAGTCAATTTTACCGTTACGCAACCGAGAGATTCTTTTGATGTACATCAAAGTATCAAACTAGTCTTCTCGTCTCATCCACAAGGTGGTGCACACTGAACCTTCAATTGCTACGACATATGTAAGGGAAGCAGAGAACGTGAGTTTAGCGTAACCCCGTGAGTATCGAGGAAGCCCCAGAAGGAGATATCACATTGTTCCCAGCATGCTCACTTATCCTCAGTTTGTGTTGTAACACAGTACTCCAGCTCTGGTATTTTGAACACACTTAACGACAGTTATGAATGGTAAATCAGTTGTACCTACCTTGTTGTGACTGTATGTGACAGGATTGATACTTATTTTCCCTTTAGGTCGACTGGTTGGTATCCCTCTAGGTTGAGTTATCTTATTTGACTGGCTACCAGCCCCTAAGTTATCCAGTTGCGTTCTACTAGCTTATATCCCCCTAGTTTGAAAGTAAGGATCAGAAGTCAAAGTGATCAAAATTAGTAGACTCATTTTTTGTATAATTCATTTCTCTAAGGAAGAGGCTTGTCTATCGACGGATGTCAGTGTTGTCTCTATCAGCAAAAGTAATCGAGATACCAGATTTTTATTTAATGTCACAAATTTACAGTCACAGTATACTAGTACTTAAGTACTAATTTTGTGACAATGTCCTGTCATTTCTTGTTGATTCTTTATTCCCACATAACATTGAAGACATCAGTATCAATTTCCATTTGAAAGAACATGGTTTGTTAATAATATTTATAATTTTTGTGACATTGAAAGTCTAAGCTGAGAAGAAGAATTATATTTGAGTGGAACTGGAGGTTGGGAGCTAAAGGTAGTGCCTTATGAATATCTACAGAAACTTCAAGAAGGCATTTACATTTAAGCACAGATGATTTGAGTTGGTTTACAAGTTAAGTACATGTTTACAGAGATGCTGTCATAATAGCCTTGAAAATAATTAATGTGAACCTCTGTTATTCACCTTCCCACCATTTCTGTGTTCTCCGTGATTCTGCCATCACGATGATGTCGTACTCTCCATGGCCAACTACAGGCAGATTTTGTTGTCATATACAAAATGTATTTTTGTAATGTTCACCGACTTCTGTTACATAATTTCTGATGTTATTGTTAGAACTTGTTTATATTGCAAGACTTACAATATTTCGTAAATATCTAATAAAATCAGTACATTATACTAATTTGAGTTTTGATAGCATTTACATTTTGACACACAACTGGCTGTCTCCAGTATTTAGTGATGGGCAATCGATTTAAAATCATAATCAATGATCGGTTTGTAACTGGAAGTAGTCAACCGATCGATGACCGATTGCATAATTGGTTTATAATTTAATGGGACTGAATATTCAAATAAAGTCAAACACCACTATTACATCAATAGACATGGTGTTTGATCACTAGACATTATTGAATGAATTTCAAGCAACATTTATGCAGTTTGTCAATCATAAGAATAAATAACTTTTAGTGCATACTTTACATTTAAGACATTTAACATTTTGATTTCAATGATGAACCAATTATATGATTATGGAATCTGTCATCGATAATCGGAATCGGAAAGAGCAAACCGATAATTTTTCAATTATAATCGATCATAAGCCCATCACTACCAGTACTAAACTCAAACAAGACTAACCCCTAACACATACAGATACTAAGTTGAGTGCACCGTCCTAGAGGTTGTGTTGTCCATTTATCCATTCACTGATTAGAAATGTATACCAGTCTTTAGATATCTACATCCGACATTCAAGTGTTTATCTGTTATTTAAAAAAAAAAAAAAAAAATCTTCAGTAAATCAGTTGGTTTGGAAAGAAGTTGAGGATATACAGAGAAAAACTTCCAATTGTCTATAGAAATTGTCACTGTGATACTGTTCCTGTCTACCAGAACTTTATTTTTACTTTTATTGGAACCTCTTGAATCCAAGTCTGAGAAACTTTTCAGAAAAGTTAAACCTACTTGGTAACTTTGTACACATCAGATCTCAAAAAGTCAAAAATGTTCTGAACAGTTTTTAGTTTCTAAACATAACAGTTCAAAATGCTTTTCAATTTTACTGACAGAACTTATTTAAAATATATTTCTTTAAAATAAACCCTGATGTGTCTGAAGGGATCCAAAGGTCTGTGATCTGTTTATATCCATAGACTGAAGCTTCTGTAAAAATGAAAACATTTTGTTTATGGAATTTGAAACAATGTCCTTTAGACTTTAAATACTGGTATACTACAATAGATGGTTTGTTATCTTTAAGATCACCTAACAAGTCCAATCTCGTCTTTCATTAATTAATTTTTACTAAAACATTCTGATTGTTTTTGTAAAGCTCACAATATAATGAATATAAGAATATTGAGTTGTGGTGCCTATCACTAGACAGATGTGGACAGGCAACATATTTTCTGTCGTAAAAACCTGATGGAACAAACTCCGAGGTATAATTAGAGGCATACCGTTTAATAGTATTCAGATACCTTTGTGGTGTTTAATGTATCGTCTCTGAAGTGTATTAATTCACTCAGCCTAAGTGGGTGGAATATATATGTTTTCAAAATTTTGAATTTGTTTAGGTCTGACAGGCATACTTTCCTAGGCCTGTATTTATGAAACCGTTATGATACTCAAGTTCCATTTGTTGTGCTCAGTCTCATTTCTAATTCAAATTAGAAAGAAGGTTTAAATATTTCATATTTGTATTTTGTCCATACTTTGCCTAAACTTGCTGTTGAGTAGCATATCTGTGTAAATTGTTATTCAACGTTTTCACAAGAGTCTGAACATTTACAAGAAAGATGCTTAGAGCTCATAGGTTTGATACTAAGCTTGAGAACAGTTCATAGATATCCAGGGCTCTGATCTTGACAATTCTAAGTGTTCAAGGTGTATATATCTAAAAAAATATCTCCATTTGTAATGTTATAACACATCGACTTTCTACCAGGTACATTATTGAGGTACTTACCAGGTACGTTTTAGACGATCATCATTCCTGTGTTATTTTCATGTCTTTCATCTCAACTGTTAAACGTAAGGCCGTTATAACAAATGATGTCACGACTATCTGTAATAGAGTTTGACATCATACAATTTTTATAATGTTATAGACATATATATATAGCTCATTTTCCTGAGTATTATAATATAAATAAAAAAGTTACACAATGTACAAACGTAGATGTATAGGCATTGTAAGTGGATGTGTAGAGTAGATGTAACCAGGGCTAGGTATACCTTGTTAACAATATGTTTATAAGTGGTTCTTAGCTTCAGTCAAGACTTTCTCTTAATCAAAGTACCGGTAATGCCTTCTCTATCGTGGAATTCAGGTAAGATAAAATCTCAGTTACCGTAAGATGTTTTATGGGCCTGGTGGATATCATGTAAGTAATATATAGGTAAATTAGTACACCCAGCTTGATGTCTAATATTTCCTCTGGTAAATGTGTTATTTCTGACACGAATGTGAAGCAATGCTAACGTCCTTACTGTGTTATTTCTGACACTGTGTGAAGCAATGTTAACGTCCTTACTGTGTTGTTACAGGGCAGCCTAGCAGAGACAGTGCTACCCAGAGAAAGAAACAGAAGTACCGTGATGAACTGCAGCTTCAGATGCGAGATCAGAAGGCAGCCAAATTCAGGTATTGTCCCCACTGTGGTAACAATAGAGCTACTGTATACTCGCAAGTGTTCACCCTTCGCCTGCAAAGTCCAAATTCACCCCGTGTTAATTTCACCCTCCACATTTGATTACTATGTAAATAATGTTTTTGACTAATGTTTGCTATAAGAAATAATGATAAATTTGCCCTCATTTCAGATGGCCAAAAGGGCGAAAATTCAACTGAAGCGGAAATTTTCCGGTATATAGTAGAAAATAAAACTCAAATATATCCCCTGCCGTAATGCCCATTTCTGACCTTGTATATATCTCCTGCGGCAATGACCATTTCTGACCTTGTATATATCTCCTGCGGCAATGACCATTTCTGACCTTGTATATATCTCCTGCGGCAATGACCATTTCTGACCTTGTATATATCTCCTGCGGTAATGACCATTATTGACCTTGTATATATCTCCTGCCGTAATGACCATTACTGACCTTGTATATATCCCCTGCCGTAATGCCCATTACTGACCTTGTATATATCTCCTGCGGTAATGACCATTTCTGACCTTCTATATATCTCCTGCGGTAATGACCATTTCTGACCTTCTATATATCTCCTGCGGTAATGACCATTTCTGACCTTGTATATATCCCCTGCCGTAATGACCATTACTGCCCTTGTATATATCTCCTGCCGTAATGACCATTTCTGACCTTGTATATATCTCCTGCCCCAATGACCATTTCTGACCTTGTACATTTATATTTCTCCTTCCGGTGAATCTTGTTAATGTCCCAGCTGGGAAAGATTTCCCTGACCATTTATGCCTAAAGAGAAATCCTTCCTGTGCTTGCATGGGTTTATTACACTTGTACTATTTTGTACGTATACTGACTGACAATGATGCCTATAGTTTACATTGGTCTGAGCTGTGTACAGTTAAAACTGTACTCTAACTGACCAGTCAGACGTAGAACTTGATTATTTGTTATCAGACTGAGTCTTTATCAGACTGATTATTTATGGCACACTTTTGATCATTTATAGGGAAAAGAATGAAGAGTTGATGGTGGCAGCGTCTGGATACCTTGATCCTGAGAAAACACCAGTCCGAGTACGAAATCTCGGTCAGCCAGGAATTTCTCCTCGTCGTAGGGCTAGAAGTCCTGAAGTCACAGCATATCACGCCAAGATTGTTCAGAGGCAACAGGCGTAAGTTTTACCCTGATGCCCAGATGGTGCTACATTCTTGTCAGACCCTAAATATAGTCTCCATAATGGGTTTTTAGCTCACCTGCCCGAAGGGCAAGTGAGCTTATGTCGTGGTGCGGCGTCCGTCCGTCCGTCCTCGTCCGCCAACTTTTCCTTTAAACAATTCTTCTGAAGAACGGATAGGCCTAGAGTCATGATATTTGGCTGAAAGCTTTGTTGGTAGGAGCCCTACAAAGTTTGAGAACGAAAATGACCTTGACCTACTTTAAAGGTCACAGGGACTCAAAAACTTCAAACAACTTCTTCTGAAGAACTAAAAGGTATAGAATCTTCATATTTGGCTGATGGCTTCCTGGGATGAAGCTTAACAAAGTTTGAGAATGAAAATGACTTTGACCTACTTTCAAGGTCACAGGGGTCAAATGTGTCAAACACTTCAAACAACTTCTTCTGAAGAACTGAAAGGTATAGAATCTTTATATTTGGCTGGTGGCTTCCTGGCATAGAGCCCAACAAAGTTTGTGAATGAAAATAAGTTTGACCTACTTTCAAGGTCACAGGGGTCAAATATGTCAAAAACTTCAAACGACTTCTTCTGAAGAACTAAAAGGTATAGAATCTTCATATTTGGCTGATGGCTTCCTGGGATGAAGCTTAACAAAGTTTGAGAATGAAAATGACTTTGACCTACTTTCAAGGTCACAGGGGTCAAATGTGTCAAACACTTCAAACAACTTCTTCTGAAGAACTGAAAGGTATAGAATCTTTATATTTGGCTGGTGGCTTCCTGGCATAGAGCCCAACAAAGTTTGTGAATGAAAATAAGTTTGACCTACTTTCAAGGTCACAGGGGTCAAATATGTCAAAAACTTCAAACGACTTCTTCTGAAGAACTAAAAGGTTTAGAATCGTCATATTTGGCTGATTGGTTCCTGAGATGGAGCCCAACAAAGTTTGAGAATGAAAATTACCTTGTTCTACTTTCAAGGTCAAAGGGGTCAAATGTTTCAAAAGCTTCAAATTAATTCTTCTGAAGAACTGAGAGGTATAGAATCTTTATATTTGGCTTGTAGCTTCCTAGGAAAGAGCCCAACAAAGTTTGAGAATGAAAATGACTTTTACCTACTTTTAAGGTCACATGAGGCAGATATGTCAAACACTTCAAATGACTTCTTCTGAAGAACTGAGAGCTATAGAATCTTTATATTTGATTGATGGCTTGCTGGGATAGAGCCCGACAAAGTTTGAGGAAGAAAATGATCTTGACCTTCTTTCAAGGTCACAGAGGTCAACAACATTTTAATGGATTTGTTCTTAAGAACTAAACGGAATGAATTCATAAGATTTGGCTGGTAGCTTTTGGAATAGAGCTTACCAATTTGAGAAGGAAAATGACATTGACCTACTTACAAGGTCACAGGGAAAAATAGGGCACGCAACTTCGGAAGAATCAAAAAAAATAGAATCTTGTAATTATATTTTGCTGGGAGTTTCAACAGATGGGGCCAACAAAGTTTGTGAGGGAAATCTTTTAAGTGCAATGTAATATTTAATGAGAATATTTTGCTAGGACTGCTTAAATATTCAGGTGAGCGATACAGGCCCTCTTGGGCTTCTTGTTTATATTGGTCAGACCCTGAAGTTTTATCCCGATAGTGCTACATTCTGGTCAGAACCTTAAGTTTTACCCTGATGGTGCTACATTCTGGTCAGAACCTTAAGTTTTACCCTGAGGGTGCTACATTCTGGTCAGAACCTTAAGTTTTAGCCTAATTGTGTAATGCTATTGGTCAGATTAATTAATGGCTAAAGGTTGCTTTTAACTCAAATATGAAAATCAAAATGCATATGGCCCCTAGCAGGGGCAGGTGACTGTCAAGAAATTTCTTGAAAGTATAAAATGAAAACATCAATGAACCGAAGCTACAAAATTTTAAGTAATTGCTTTGGCAGTTTTCAACAAAGAATTCTGACATCTGACAAATATTGAAACAACTAAAACAGATAAGTTGCATATTCTGAAGTATATATCAATTGGTAACCATGACAATTACAGGGGTCAGGGAAGTGGATATGATCCGTCAGGAGACTTTGGATTGGGAGGGGGTGTGGCGTTTGGAGCAGATGCTTCAGCACCAAAGGGGCGTCGGCGAGATCAAGGGGGATATGAGCCGTCGGCTTACTTAGACGGAGGAGGATTTGACACCAATCTGTTGGAGCCACGTAGACCCAAGGGTTTAGCACTTCCTCCAGGACTACAGTATCAACCCTCGTAAGTACTGTCTCACTATTAACATTATAATACAGATAATACATCATCTAGCTGTCAGGCCTGGGCCATCAAATATTATAGATTTTTTTTTAATATTCATTAATGTTAGTTCATCTTAAAGTGTTGAAGAAAAAATAATATGAAAATGTCAATATACAAAGTTCTTTACAAGTTGGACATAGGACAAATTAGCATTATACTGTTGAAACACTATCAGGCTGGATACATATCGGGTTTGATTAATTACTGAACACCATGTACAATTTTACCAAGGTTGACAGTATTTAACATCTCCTGGTCATGTTCGGCTGGTTTCACCACACGTAGCCACAATTATTTTTGTTATCAACGACCAGGACTTCAACGCTTTATAAAGTAGTGAAACAAGCTGAAGATGGCTTAAGTTGTCAGATAGATAGGATACAATGAATACCACATGGGTTAATGCGCTCAGAAAAAAAACAGGCATTGATAACTAAGTTTCAGCCTATGGTATGTATTTTCTTCATTTCCTTCATTGCCTTCATACATTAGGCCTATCCTAGAAATAAAGGAAGGTGTTGAGAAAGAACTGAGAGGTTTAATATTTTCTTTCTGTATATACTTGACAAAACATTTAAACCTGTAGGTTTGCTGCTCTGGACCCCGACACAGGCGTACCTAGGTATATATATACTGAGTTATCTCCCCTTGCACTCACGTCCAAGTGAACTCTGGGTAACGAATGCTGTGACAGTTTGTCAATAAACACTAATGTACGACATCTCTAATGTAGAGTTTGAGAACAGGTGCTTACTGTTTATTGTGTGATCTTGGTTGGTGTTTCAGTTAGTAAAAATAATACTTCAAAGTAGTTTCAAAACATTTCCTTAACATATAGATGAACAGTTAAAATACACTTACCAAATTAATGCTAAACATCTCTCTGCTTTTTCGGTAACTTACGCCAAGTAACCTGATGCTGTTTGTTGTCTGTTAATATTTTAAGTTTATCACTTTTCAAAAACTACACATATAGCCGTGGGTCATCATGTTTGACCTTTAGCTAGGTAGGATGAAGGTCAAGGTCACAAGGATAAAATATATGTAAGAAACATAAGGTCAAAAATTGAATGTTTTGAACTTTTTTCTCTAACAATTATACTTTTGTGAAAATTTAAGCACATAACTAATACGGTTATATGAATTGTTCTTTACACGAGCTAAAATTTCTCATAAAAAAAAAAAGTAAAAACAAGATTTGAACTGATATTGTTAACTGATAAGTTAAAAGGAAAAAAACAGATTATAAATTCAGAAATATTAGCACACTTCTATAGGAAAGCATATAGAAACAATGATCTATTTTTACACCAATATCCTACTATGCCTGTGATAATGATGAGCTATGACAAACTGACAGAAATTACGATAGAGGAACTGATCATTTAGCACAAGCAGGTACAGGTGTGGGCTGCATGGAAGACACACCGGACGCTTTTATTGCATGACAGCATTTTAAGTTTGCATTGCATGCTGATTGATTGTGATCACAAGGAACAGTTGGAATCATCATGTTTATTTAGTATTTTACTGTTACAGCAGACAACATTGATATTTTGAGAGTTATTGATTTAATTGGTGATGTGAAGTTAGGAACTTCGCCAGTGATTCTTACAGTGGTATTTGTGGGGATTGGAAGTCTGTGTAATAAACATCCAATTTATATCTAAGTCCTTCACTTTATAAATCATATATAAAATTTAAAAAAAATATATCTTCAAAATTTGTAGGATGAAGGAAGTGTATACTTGGTTTTGTTTATGAAATTTTGTATATTTTTAAGGCTAAGAAAGAAACAAACAAAAGCAAGTACAAGACAAAAGTAGAATAAATCTGCCTATAACAATGATACATTGATAACACCTTTCCTGCACGATTACACTTTATGACTGTCGTGGGATTATTTTATGTCCAAGTATGTGCCACAATTTCAACTGCAGAGTACATTATATCACATATCATCTGTTACTTAATTCTTCTAAATCTGCATATGTTTCTTTACTACTGTAGCCACGATCTCTATAACAATTTGTACCATACATTGATTAATTACTAGTAGGAAACCTTGTATACTTATACACTTGTGCCTTTCAAAAAAGTATATCCGGAAAAAAAAAGAATTTTGAAAAAATCTCTTATAACTTTCTGTTTAGAGTAGAACTTTTCTTTTCAATGCTTAAAATAAATATTTAGGTTTATGTAAATTCTTTATTCATATTCCATGAATTCACATACGCTTATATCTATACATCGCAATGATAGGATGTAATTCAGTACTGAGGGGGGAAAATACCACTTTTACGCCAGATTTTGACCAATTGCAAACTCTAGATGACTGGGCCCCAACCAAAAAAACAAATAATCATTTCTCAGAAAAACATAGAATTACCATAGGTAATCCATGGTTAACTTGGTTTGACCAAACCAATCTGTAACAACAGATGCATTAAAAAATTGTTTGGATGCTTCAATCTTCAAACTATTTGAGTTATGAGAAGTTTGTGTTGGCAATGCTTAAAAATGTATGTTAAATTGTACAACATTATGTTAAGTTGTGTTTAATTCTGCACTGCTTTATTTAATGTGAGGTTAGTGAAATGTCTACAACATAAACATTGATAGAGAGTCTGACAAACGTTGTACGTAGTATGTGTCGTGTATAGGTACTGTAGGTATTGTAGTTACGTGTCGTGTATAGGTACTGTAGGTATTGTAGTTACGTGTCGTGTATAGGTACTGTAGGTATTGTAGTTACGTGTCGTGTATAGGTACTGTAGGTATTGTAGTTACGTGTCGTGTATAGGTACTGTAGGTATTGTAGTTACGTGTCGTGTATAGGTACTGTAGGTATTGTAGTTACGTGTCGTGTATAGGTACTGTAGGTATTGTAGTTACGTGTCGTGTATAGGTACTGTAGGTATTGTAGTTACGTGTCGTGTATAGGTACTGTAGGTATTGTAGTTACGTGTCGTGTATAGGTACTGTAGGTATTGTAGTTACGTGTCGTGTATAGGTACTGTAGGTATTGTAGTTACGTGTCGTGTATAGGTACTGTAGGTATTGTAGTTACGTGTCGGGTATAGGTACTGTAGGTATTGTAGTTACGTGTCGGGTATAGGTACTGTAGGTATTGTAGTTACGTGTCGGGTATAGGTACTGTAGGTTTATACACAACAAAACAAAAGTAATTATAGTTCAAGGAAATTTATTAAGGTTCGAAACTAGTGACTTGTTCAGTTATAAAAACTTGAAGATTTATTATTTTGGCATTCTTGGAGGCTGCTCATAAGTAATTTAAACTACTCAACATAATATGACCTAAAACAAAGTACTTGACATACAAAATACATATTAATACTAACTCATCGAGCGATCTAGACACGAGGCAGGCGACCCTGCTGTGTAAGACATGTAGCCTAGCGAGCGATCCCACTAGGCGTGTGAATACATCAGCAAGCGTGAGTGTAAGTACATGGCTCAGGAGGCAACCCCACTCGCAGGTATTTAAGGCAATACGTGACTAACAGGGGGCTACGTCTGCAGGTACAAAGACTCACTCTTGTACAGACAAAAGAGGTGGAGTAGCAGTAGTCCACCAGATACTGTAGGTATTGTAGTTACGTGTCGTGTATAGGTACTGTAGGTATTGTAGTTACGTGTCGTGTATAGGTACTGTAGGTATTGTAGTTACGTGTCGTGTATAGGTACTGTAGGTATTGTAGTTACGTGTCGGGTATAGGTACTGTAGGTATTGTAGTTACGTGTCGGGTATAGGTACTGTAGGTATTGTAGCATGTCTGGAAGTTCACAACTTTGGTTCTAACTGTATTAACAGAAATGCTTGGCCTTTTTTTTGTTGTTTTTTTGCTTACCTTGGATTTTAATTTTGCTAAAAAGGAAGTCAAGCAGTAGAAACTATTTGTAAGTATTTGTATGTAGGTTGAAGTAAGTGTCGAGTTTGTAAGATGATTTTTCAGGTTTTGGAGAAATGCTATAAGCTTAAATATTAGGTAAATGATATATTTATCAATAACGGATGTTTAATTAGGTGAATTATTGGTTATGTGTACCTGATAAAGATATATACTGACCAAGACAAAGTTGAGGTCAATATGAATTTTCAGGTTGATATAACCACATATTCATTAAAATAAAGCCCATTATTTTTATACTACTTATACTAGGAATGAAAATATGCCGTTTTTATCATTAAACAAGATGGATGTAAGGTGATCCTCACAAGAAAAATGGTGCATTTGACAGAGAATATCAATATAAATCTACCCCTCCAACATGGTTATAATTTAACCTATAAGGTTGTTGGGAAAAGTCATTTTATTTAGTATTGAGGTATAATTAACTGTCAGTTTAGTGAAAATATGATGAATATATATATTTCTGATTTTCTTCCGATATTGGTCGGATTAGCTGGAATATAAAGTCCTCTTAAGAGTCTTAAATTGTTGCTGCAAAAAAAAAAAAAACTTTATCATGTGGTCAGATTTAAAGTAAAAACACACTCTTATACAAAAAAAAGGAAAATCACTTAATTTTTAAAAAGAAAAAAGAAAATTTTAAATAAAAATTGAATAATGTGCAGCATGTACATTGTATATTTGTTTTGATGACAGAAATTGAAATATGGTCCATTTGTAGTATGAACGCATGTGTGTGCAAAAAACGAAGACATAACAGTGTTACATAGGATACTCTGAATCTGTACACTTTTGTGTTTGCCTTACAGTACCTACATCACGGGCCAGGACAGCATCGGCGGTCTCAACGCTCACAGCTCTATAGACGACGCCTACAGGTTCTACGGCATGAGGAATCCACTCGACCCCGAACCCGCGGGTCTGTACACAAACTTTTGTGATAACTGTAGTGTCTATAAATTACTGGAAGCATACAAACACAGAATGAATTCAAAAGAAATATCTTATTTAATAAAACATTAACAAAACAAATTAAAAATGTACATGTACTTGTGAATATCTAAATTTGATAGGTGTCAATTGGATAAATGTTTTTTTCTTTTATAAAAGACCTTTTAAGATTAACATGTGATTTCTTGGAACATTTTTTTAAAGGCGGAGGAACTGGTGTACCCCCTCTGAATCTTGGAGGGGACAATCAAGCACCTCGAGGACGCTCTCCGAGGGTCACCTTCGATGACAGGTAAGGCTTGAAACATGTACATAGAGACAAAGGCAATCGGGACCTACAAGGGTGAATGTAGACCCCTTAGTGTCAGGCAATCGGGACCTACAAGGGTGAATGTAGACCCCGTAGTGTCAGGCAACCAGGACCTACAAGGGTAAATGTAGACCCCTTAATGTCAGGCAATCAGGACCTACAAGGGGGAATGTAGACCCCTTAGTGTCAGGCAATCGGGACTTACAAGGGTGAATGTAGACCCCCTAGTCTCAGGCAATCAGGACCTACAAGGGTGAATGTAGACCCCTTAGTGTCGGGCAATCAGGACCTACAAGGGTGAATGTAGACCCCCTAGTGTCAGGCAATCAGGACCGACAAGGGTGAATGTAGACCCCTTAGTGTCAGGCAACCAGGACCTACAAGGGTAAATGTAGACCCCTTAATGTCAGGCAATCAGGACCTACAAGGGTGAATGTAGACCCCTTAGTGTCAGGCAACCAGGACCTACAAGGGTGAATGTAGACCCCTAAATGTCAGGCAATCAGGACCTACAAGGGTGAATGTAGACCCCTTAGTGTCGGAAATGGACAGCAGTATCGGATGGATTAAATTTTAAACTTCAGAAAATAAGAAAAAAATAGTGAAAATAAATGTGTGCACCAGTGCTAATTAATCATTTCAAGATGATGGTTCTATTGAGGAACTACTTTTTTGAGGGGTTTATTTTGGGCTAAGTTTAGCCTTTTCCTTTTGTCGGTCAAATCACTATGATTTCCTAAAATAATTGCAAAAGTAAAACAAAAAACAAAACCAAAAAACTCATAATTCTATAGTTTGAATATAATTCAGCAAAACAAATACGAATGTAATAGTACACATTCCATGGTGAATCTTAAGGCTAATGCTATTTATCACATAAGGTACTGTGTTATCCAATGAATATAACTATTTATCACATAAGGTACTGTGTTATCCAGTGAATATACCCATGTCATATTTTTTTGCGTATTAACCCATGTAATATGACCTATCAGCCCTGTGATTGGTTGTAAGTTTCAATTGTTTCAATTGTGACGTCACGCCAAGGACAAGTACATGACGTCACAGACTTATGCACTGGAGTCAAAATGGCGGCTTTTTACATTTCAAGGTTGCATGAAAATTGTCGTTTTACACAAATAAATGCTACAAATCTTGATTATGTGATAAAAAGGATCTTATACTTGTTTTCATTTCATATGAAATTTTTGAAACTCATCTCAAATATTTCATTTAGCTCGCCAGAGGTCGCTAAATTGAAAAATTCTTAGACTCGTTTCATATATCTCACATGAAATGGAAACTTGTGTAGGATCCTATATGTATACCCCACGTTATGGCGTTACTGATTTTCTGGTCCTGTTTTGTGGTTTCAGTCACCGAGGAATCCTGAAAGATAGGTAACTTTTACGACAAAGCTATTTTATCATCAGATACTTTCAGTTTGTTCTACCATTTCTGTTCTTGCACAGTAAGAGATGTCATGTATAACAGAACCATTTACTTACTGGTATTATCCTAAGTTCTGACACGGAACTCGACATAATCATGTTGCTCCATACTTACACTTTACATTGTGATTTATATAATTGTTTCCCATTATTTTTATGCTTATGATCGGTGAATAAAACTACACATGAAAACGTGTGAAATTTAATTTGCTTCTATTGTATATTTCTTACAAGTTTTAAATTTTTGGACAGAATGTAACTAAGTTGTTGTGAATAAAGTCTGTTACAAACATTGATTTGATTGCAGACTGAGTGTTAATGTAGACAGATAGTACCGTTAGAAACTTGGTCAAACCGATGTATATTTTATGGTTCTTTTGTATTTGATGACATTTCTTTTATGTGAAGCAAAGATTTGTTTTGTTTGCCCTGGAGTTGGATGTGCTATCCTATTGATTACATGGTGTACAGGTCTGGAGAACCTTATACCATGTAATCCATTAGTTTACATCTACTGGTTTGTGTCTTGGAACTTCTATCATTGTTAGTGTGTGTCAATAATGGTATAAGGTGTAGATTCTTAAGTCTTTAGGGTTTAGGTTAATTGTTAGGGTTTAGTAAAAATTGATGCGGAATTTATCGTTTTCCAAATTAGTCCCTTAAAATCCCCAACGTGAACTCCATGAATACCTTGATAGAAGAATTCGGCAAAATTGACTTACATTGTAATATAATGATCATCTAATCCTCATTGTAACGTGTGTGACTTCTAAGGTAATGTAATTTTATGGCAAAATCCATAGCACCATAATAATCATGTGGTTCTGTGGCAACTTGTTGTGTGGCATCTATAACAGCATGATAACTGTGTGGTTTCCATGGCAACTTATTGTGTGGCATCCATGGCAACATAATTTGACAACATCTCTATCAACTGACCGCCATGATATCATCTTGCTTATGATACCTTTGTACAGTTGGCTTCTGTATATGTAACATATATGTTAACACCTATTTTTGGATGAAATTAGTCTCCAAATCGACCAAATCATAATCTGATTCATTTCCAATTGAAACTACAGTTTGATACCCCAGACTGTGAAATGTTACCTCTGACTACACAATGTTACCCCTGACTACACAATGTTACCTACAGAATGTAACCTCTGACTACAGAATGTTACCCCTGACAAATGCAACACAATGTTGCCTACAGAATGTTACCCCTGACTACAGAGTGTGAACCAATTTCTACACAATGTTACCTACAAAATTTTACCTCTGTCTACAGAATGTTACCCCAGACTAAACTATGTTACCTACATAATGTTACCCCTAACTACAGAATGTTACCCCAGACTAAACAATGTTACCTACATAATGTTATCCTGACTACTGAATGTTACCTTTGACTACAGAATGTTACCCTGACTACAGAATGTTACCCTGACTACAGAATGCTACCTTTGACTACAGAGTGTAACCCAAAACTACAGAATGTTACCCTGACTACAGAATGTTACGTTTGACTACAGAATGTCACCCTGACTACAGAATGTTACCTTTGACTACAGAATGTTACCCTGACTACAAAATTTACCCTGACTACAGAATGTTACCCTGACTACAAAATGTTACCCTGACTACAGAATGTTACCCTGACTACAGAATGTTACCTTTGACTACAGAAAGCTACCTTTGACTACTGAATGTTACTCTGAACTACAGAATGTTACCCTGACTACAGAATGTTACCCTGACTACAAAATGTTACCCTGACCACAGAATGTTACCCTGACTACAGAATGTTACCTTTGACTACAGAAAGCTACCTTTGACTATTGAATGTTACTCTGAACTACAGGTCAATAAATTGTTGGAACTACTCTCACATTTCGATCCAAATAACTTTATATTCATGATTGGTACATCATGTAGCTGCACACCTGATATTTATAGTTTGGTTTCGACCTTTTTCCCCAAAAGTTACTGCCCTTTCTTGACTTCTCAATTCAAGACCTGCCTGGACATATTTTCCAAATAACCAATTACAATGAAACATGAACATGAACTTACAAATAAAAAATGCATTGTAAGGCAGAAATTTACCGGAGGTGATGGGAGAGCTACTTTTAATCTTTAATCTAAGCTAAAGTCCATGTTTGAAGTCTGTTAAACAAGCATCACTAATGCTTTATCTGCAGTTATCACTTGATGAAGTTGTACATAAGAACAATTTAATTAGGCTGATTTCTTATCTATACTAACCCACCCTGAAGGATACCAACTGATGTTTGTGTATAAATGGTGAATCTGAAGAAAGAAATCTTTTATCAGTACCGTCTATTACACTTTTCTCCTGGACTTGCTTTTTGCAATTTATCAATTTCTGTATACCTAACTTAACAAAAAACTTGTCCAAACATATTTTTTCTTATACATTGCTGTAAACATATCTTTATTTTTTATAAATGGGAATTTTGTTTTCCATTGTAACTTTTGCTAAGTTTATACCCGTATGTTTTCCTGAAAGGAGTTATAAAATCTTGCTAATAATCCAAAAGTAATCACCAAAACGCGAGTCCAAAAGATTAAGCAAAATAGACAGTAACTCCATGTACTCTTGTATTTTTTCTAAACAAGTTCATCTGTCAGTAAAAAAATGAAAACGAAAGTAATAAATGATATCCTAGTTGATTGTAGTGTAAGGTGTGGTTAGATCTATGATATTAGAGATTCTGGTATTGGTGGATTGTGTTGATGTGTGTAGTAATACGTAGACTGTACAGTGAATTATCTGTGTTAGGCTGTGTTGGTGTTGTTCATATTCTGTAGTTTATATAGCTCTGATATATCTGTAAATTTCTGTGGACCAGTGCCCGGCGACCGTCTCGACACAGAAGTCCTGGCCGAACAACGCCCTACCAATTTGATGCTGACCAAGAGGACCGCAGCACCACAAATATGAACAAGCGAGAGTATGCTAACGACCTAGCTCGACAGGTAATGTCTCGTCATGTCAAATGCTCTTATCTTTGTGCAACTTTCATAAACAATAAGGATATAATACATTTATCACTCGACTTGTGTAAAATGTTGAAGATAATGTGGATCTAGTCTAGTTTACTCATTCACCCCTGAAATTTCATAATGAACTATTCCAACCTTTGAATTGGAAGAGCTTAAATGTGTCTTTAGGGGTGAATGAGTTAAGACTTAGTTTCATTGTTAACCTTCCAAAGTAGAGACAGAAAAGCTTTGTAGTAGAATAGGTTGTTAATAATAATCTAGCCAAGATTTCATTTATGAGTTAAATCACCCAGATAGAGACAGAGAAGTTTATTTGTTGACAATAAGGTTGCTAGTTTGACTGTTGACATATAGATTGCTAGTTTGAATGTTGACATATAGATTGCTAGTTTTACTGTTGACATATAGATTGTTAGTTTGACTGTTGATATATAGTTTGCTAGTTTGACTGTTGACATATAGATTGCTAGTTTGACTGTTGACATATAAATTGCTAGTTTGACTGTTGACATATAGATTGCTAGTTTGAATGTTGACATAGATTGCTAGTTTGACTGTTGACATATAGATTGCTAGTTTGACTGTTAACATATAGATGGCTAGTCTGACTGTTGACATATAGATGGCTAGTTTGACTGTTGACATATAGATTGCTAGTTTGACTGTTGACATACAGATTGCTAGTTTGACTGTTGACATATAGATTGATAGTTTGACTGTTGACATATAGATTGCTAGTTTGATTGTTGACATATAGATTGCTAATTTGAATGTTGACATATATATTGTTAGTTTGACTGTTGACATAGATTGCTAGTTTGACTGTTGACATATAGATTGATAGTTTGACTGTTGACATATAGATTGCTAGTTTGACTGTTGACATAAAGATTGCTAGTTTGAATGTTGACACAAAGATTGCTAGTTTAAATGTTGACATATAGATTGCTAGTTTGACTGTTGACATAAAGATTGCTAGTTTGATTGTTGACAAAAAGGTTATTTTGTTGATAGCACTTAAGCCTACCGGTGTCTTACTTAATTTGAAGTAAATTTTCACAATTCTTGTTATAAGCCATTTTTGTTCATGAACAGTACAATATCACCACCACCGTTCTGGAGTAACTTTCTCACTGATTCTTATGGATCTCTTTCAGATGGAGTTAGACAAAATGAAGAGAGAAAGGGCAAAACAAGAAAATATGAGGTAAGTTCACTGACCTTGAATATAAATAAGTCAAGGTCATTCATTTGAACAAACTTGGTAGCCCTTCATAAACATATCACTTTATATTTTTCTGCGAAATGCAGTTTATGCACAACATTGTAAAGAATTCAGTGATAACAGATCATATGCATGCAGAAGCGTTGTGAAATTCAATTCCATATAATGACATTTTATGTGAAATCAATGTGATGGTATAACACATTTGAAATTCAGTTCTATTGTGTTGCATTAAATGCCAAAATCCATTTTTTAGCATGGCATTATATAAAATTCAAACGTATAGTATGAGATTATATATAAACAAATTTAAGTGTCCAATTTCCTTTGAATTGTTCAAATAACATATGTTTAAACTAACTAAACTTAACTATAAAATTCACTTTTATAGTGTGGAATTATAATTGAAATTCATTGTGTCAGGTACCGGTATTGTCTTTATCTCCGTCTGTGTCAGGTATTGTCTTTATCTCCATCTGTGTCAGGTATTGTCTTTATCTCCGTCTGTGTCAGGTATTGACTTTATCTCCCTTTGTGACAGGTATTGTCTTTATCTCCGTCTGTGTCAGGTATTGTCTTTATCTCCGTCTGTGTCAGGTATTGACTTTATCTCCGTCTGTGACAGGTATGAGAAGAAGATTGAAGAAGACATGCTGAACTATAACCCCTTTGGTCGGTCTGGAGGTGGGGCTCCTAACCTCGACGCCAAGGGACAGCCAATAGGTAAGTCGGTCAGGAGGTGGGGCTCCTAACCTGGACGCCACGGGTCAGCCAATAGGTAAGTCGGTCAGGAGGTGGGGCTTCTAACCTGAACGCCAAGGGTCAGCCAATAGGAAAGTCGGTCTGGAGGGGGGGCTCCTAACCTCGACGCCAAGGGTCAGCCAATAGGGAAGTCGGTCTGGAGGTGGGGCTTCTAACCTGAACGCCAAGGGTCAGCCAATAGGAAAGTCGGTCTGGAGGGGGGGCTCCTAGCCTGGACGCCAAGGGTCAGCCAATAGGTAAGTCGGTCAGGAGGTGGGGCTTCTAACCTGGACGCCAAGGGTCAGCCAATAGGTTAGTCGGTCTGGAGGTGGGGCTCCTAACCTGGACGCCACGGGTCAGCCAATAGGTAAGTCAGTCTGGAGGTGGGGCTCCTAACCTTGACGCCAAGGGTCAGCCAATAGGTAAGTCGATCTGGAGGTGGGGCTCCTAACCTCGACGCCAAGGGTCAGCCAATAGGTAAGTCGGTCTGGAGGTGAGGCTCAGCCAATAGGTAACTCGGTCTGAAGGTGGGGCTCCTAACCTTGATGCCAAGGGTCAGCCAATATGTAAGTATAAAACACATCTGTGACTCAACAAAACTTGGTAGGGCAGATATTGACAGCTGTGACTCGTAAAATGTCAGGTAAAAAAGTATAGAAGTACTCGTTTGATGTTCAGCAGGACAGATACGAACAGCCGTGCCTTGTAAAATGTCAAGTAAAAATAGACAGGTGTGTCTCGTCAGATGTTCAATAAGACAGATATTGACAGCTGTGACTCGTAAAATGTCAGGTAAAATAAATATTGATAGCTGTGACTCGTAAAATGTCAGGTAAAATAAATATTGATAGCTGTGACTGAGGTTGAAAGAAATATAGACAGCTACGACTTGTCAGACATTAGGTAAGACAAATGCATGATACATAACACTGTTATTTTACATCAGACATCGTCTGACACAGATTTAGAATCTGGAAATTGCTGATACAAGTATGACACTGCTTACACTATAAACAAAAACAAAGTACAATTCTATAAAAGTTGCACTATCATGGAGTTTATAAAATTAAATTGCAGCTGACCTTCGACAAATGAAGAGGAGAGTTGATGATCCTTCATACTCCCCAACTCCTCGTGAGTCGCCCCGCTTCAGGGCACCAGTATCTCCCAAAGATGACCTCATACCTCCTCCTCCCGGCCAGATCAACGCAGAGGGAGAGTCCACATATGCTCTTGGTGGTCACGGAATTTTTGGAAATCCTAGAGTACGTGAAATCTGCATTTAATATATCTGTCTTGTTTTGGCAATTACAACTCTTTAAATTTCATAGTAAATTTAAGTTGGAAATAACGAATTAAAAAAAAAAATACTTACAATAGAATACATTTTTGTCTCGCCTGCGACGGAGTTGAAATTCAGTTATTGTTCGATTTCAATCAAATTTGGTAAGTACATGTATTTTGGCACTGCGAACTCAACCGCGGCATCCGTTTTCTGATCTGACAATCTTCGTATACTGGCTTCTGCATGATTGGTCGAAATTCACATATATTTTAATTTTGCTCAAATTTGGTATGTACATGACTTCCGTTCCCCTATTTACCTTTGTTTTTCTGAATGCGCGGTTAGTTTGGGGGACATGGCCAGCTCCCATTACAATTAGCACTTGTGCCTTTTATACCTTCATGTTGATGTAATGCCAAACTTGTTTATAAAATATAAAATTCCGAACTTTGGCTCAAACTTACAATGCTTGACACATTGAATCTTATGCTCAAAGCGGGAACAGGCGAGATGTATAATTACGCGTGATTCTTGTTTAAACAAATGTTACAATCAATATAAAACAAATGAAATAACTATTGAATGGTCTTTTGATAGGTACCTTTAGTATAAATACAGAACAACTTTATTTTATGAAGAGCAATATTTATAGCAATTTCAAAAAGACAGTTTTAAATTAGATTCGGCTTTTTTAGTGAGATCTTGTTTACTTTACAACATATTTAGTCTTGTTAAACAAGTTTGTTACTTAATGTAATTTTTTAATATTTCATGCTTGGTTTTCAGACGGAGGAGGAGAAATCTAAAGCAGACAAATACAAGGATGACTTGAGGCTACAGGTATTTTGTCTAACACTTCAAAAAGTACAGGCTACATACGGTGGAACCTTATAGATTCATAATTCTTTTAAATATATGAAAACAGAATATATTTTGGTTTTTGTCCTTAGAGGATCATGCTGAATTAAGTTATAAGTTTACAAGTTAAGTTATAATCAATATCTAATAGGGAAAAAATGCTCAATGGGGTCCAGGGGCATGCCCCATGGACAATTTTGAATTTAGAAATCTCTGTGGTGCATTCTAGGTTTAAAATATAGCTTTTCAATTCTGCTGAAATATTACATAAATTTACAAGACATCTAATGGCCTGACGGCATAGCTGGTGGAAAACCTACCTAAATGATTATTTACAAAAAATATATACAAATACTGCAACACATGTTTAAAAAACATAAATCAGATTTGAACATTTGACTTTACAAATGGTAATTAAGCTATACAGCCCGATTCTGGAGGATTCTTACACATGGCCACGTTTACGCTAAACATTGGAAGTGTCTTATTCTCCACCTTATGTTCGTCAATTTTTATGACCATGGTTCAACTGTATTGTTCAGACACCTGAGGAAATTGAAAATTTCAGGTTAATTTGAATTTACCTGGATGGTCAGTTTTCCAGTAATATCAATCAATATGATCAAGCACTATCATGTTTTGCACAAAGCTTTTTACACCTGTTGGCAGATATTAGAAAAGAAACGACACGATCAGTTAATAAAAGAACAAGAAAAAATAGAGGAGGAAAAGGAAAACCGCCGACTGGAAGAACAGCGACAAAGAATACAGAGGGACTTTGATGAGGAACAGAGAAAAAAACGAGATAAAGAGGAAGAGGTAACACTGATGTCTATACATAACTCAGCATGGGATGGATCAAGTCAAAACGTGACTGAAGTTCGCGTCGAAAATCAACATTTTCCCCCCCAAAAAATCCATTTTTTCCCGTTTTTTTTATTAATGCTTTTTCCTAAATTAATAGATGTTTTAAAATCTGCAATGATAATCCATATTTATTTTATTCACAAAATTTATTCCCAAATAGAATTCAAATACATTTGTAGAAAAACTGATTATAGTTAAATACCAATAGGTATAGTCAATATCAAACAAAAAACCCAGGATCCCGTAGAAACTTTTAAGATGCTTTTTAGGTGTATAGATAGATTTTGTAGATAGATTGAGTAGAAAATCATCAACGTCTTACAGGAAATTCCTTTTCAATTGTTTGGGGAATTATTCGGTCCTTGAATTTCTTTGATCAGAATCGCAGAAAACAGGAGGAACTCATAAGGAAAAACGAAGAAAAGAGACGAGAGGCGGAGCGGTCTAAACGAGAAAAGGCTGAGATTCGTCAGAGAGATAGGGAGAGGGAATTAGATGACCAGACGAGATTTGAGTCGGTAGGTCTGAAGAAACACTGTCGTTTGTAGAATAGTATTGCTGGTGTTCGGTATTGAACATTGAGATTTAAAATCATGACAGATTCTGTATGGACATTAAAAATTGTATCATTCATATTATTAAATCACATTCAAAATTTCAACAAGTTAGAAGTGTTTTTACATATCCAACTTTAATGACAACAGATCGGACAAATACTCTGCAAGGAAACTATAGTAGTTAGACTCTATCATTCCCATTCCTAAGCATTCATACTTACAAGGCTAGATATACAGTGCTGCTAGTAGTATAGTGTATTTCATATATTTACATCCTTCGGCTCTTTGTGTTTTCTGTTTTAAATTCAAATTACTGTTACAGTAAGATAATGTATTTGAATTGCTGTTTATATAATTATGGTATCATGTTTTAATGGGAATACACACTTTTAAGATTTGACTATAATGTCAAGTAGAGGATGTGTTGTATTTTTATTGGAAAACTCAATTAAAAAGAACATGATGAAACCTTATATTTTAAGTTCTGCTTTCTCAGTTTTTGTCTTTGTCCATCTAATTGGTGTGCAATTTTTCTAGTTTCAACAAAATCTACTTTTCATTCATCAGAGGTCATCATGATATTATAAAAAAAAAATGGAAAACATGTAAAGAGAACAGGGAGAGTAATAAACACTGCACAGACCTAGTCTGTCAGTCATTCCTCTAGATAACTTGTAGATAGTGCCATCATGCTTTGTATTATTTTCAGCAACATCGTACTTCATCGCCACCAGTTCCAACACTGCGCAGCAAACTCGCCACAACAGACGGAGAACCGGTAAAGTCTACTTTCACTTTACCTATGTTTTATACAGGGTCTAGCAAAGTTTAATTCATATCAGGCATCTATTCAAATTAACCATTATATTGTTGGCCTTAATTGGCTTAAATGACAGTTAACATTTAGATTAATAAAATAGTTGTTCTATAAAAGTTTTCAATCAATTTTTTTATAAAAAAAAAATCCAGTACTTAGGCTGTGACAGCAAAAAAAATACCCATTGTATACAATTTTACATTACTTCTTAAATGATTACTCTTCGAAGTAAAACTGACCTTTTCATATTTATTCATATGACTTTTAATGCTGGCCTTATAATATTGCCCTATGTAGGAGCAAGAAGTTAATATACCGACCTTAGTGGTCCCCGAAAGCCACCTTCCTAGTCGTCCCGTTAGCCGCGAGGAGGTGCTGACCAGGAGTGGGTTCCACCCCCACTATCGTTCAGATTCATCCTTTTTTTCTCCTAAACGAAGTACCGCGGTAAACCCCACACCTTAGATTTCTTGTTTTTAGATTCTACATATTTATGTCGTACTGTTCTTCAAATTTTTCTGTGATGTACATATTTTTTCTACTACTGTACTGACCTGATCAAACATACATAGTACTTGTATCAGGTGTTAGCATGGGACTCTAAATAGTTTGCACATCTTTTATATGATCTACAGTTGATTAGAAAATGCCTGTTTCAGACTGAAATGTGACAGTAAGCGTTATTGGGAAAAACATGTTTTTGTGAGGAATAGATCATTCCAGCTAGGATATGTCACTCCTCAAAATTAGAGAGTTTCTTTTGATATAATTTTAACTTTATTCTAAGGGCTCTGACTTACCAATTAATGTTCTGTAAAACTCAAGTTACTCAACAGATGATTTGTTATTTCTTGAAACTTGATAAAAGGTTTCTTTTAAAAAGAAATCTATGTGCTCAGTGCACCTACTGACTGGTACATGTCCCTTAAAACATATCTCATGTTATATATCCACAGTGTGCATGTCTGGGAATGTACTATATAACATGTTATATATCCACAGTGTGCATGTCTGGGAATGTACTATATAACATGTTATATATTCACAATGTGCATGTCTGGGAATGTACTTTATAACATGTTATATATCCACAGTCGGCATGCCTGGGAATGTACTATATAGGATCAACTGCATGATAAAGTACTATATTTTACTCCACTTCAATTTCAAATGTATGGCAGTTGTATGGTGTGTGGTATATATCCTGTATGATATGGTGTATCAAGTCAAGTCAAGAAATCTTTTTTTATAGTTAGTATCTTATAAGACTTTTACAACCAACTAAAATGATGAGCTAGGGATATATCTTTTAATCAAACAACACTGTGACTGTATATTATATAACCAGTTGTGGAAGTCCAGTATCCTGGTTATTGTCAATAGTGATCAGACTAAACCCCTGACCATAGGCTGTAAAGGTCATTAGTGTCAGACTAAAACCCTGATTATAGCCTGCAAAGGTCATTAGTGTCAAACTAAAACCCTGACTATAGCCTGTAAAGGTCATTAGTGTCAAACTAAAACCCTGACTATAGGCTGTAAATGTCATTAGTGTCAAACTAAAACCCTGACTGTAGGCTGTAAATGTCATTAGTGTCAAACTAAAACCCTGACTATAGGCTGTAAATGTCATTAGTGTCAAACTAAAACCCTGACTAGAGGCTGTAAAGGTCAATAGTGATCAGACTAAAACCCTGACTTTCGGCTGTAAAGGTCAATATTGATCAAAGTTAAACCACAACTTTAGGCTGTAAAGGTCAATAGGGATCAAAATAAATCCCTAACTATCGACCGTAAAGGTCAATAGTGATCAGATTAAATCCCTAACTATCAACTGTAAAAGGTCAATAGTAGTCAAACTAAATCCCTAACTATCGACCGTAAAGGTCCATAGTGATCAGGCTAAAACCTGACTATAGTCTGTAAACATGATTTTTCCAGTAGGATTGTTTACAATGTGTCTGCCATTCCTGGACTGAATATCTGCATGTAATGAATAGTCTTGTTGGTCTTGTGATAATCTTCATGGCAAGTTATGCATGATCTTTTCTTTGGAAAATCTTGATTGACTTTTGCATCCCAGTTCTTTGAGCTCTAGTGTCCTGGTTGACTGTTTGATACTGCATATAACATACATGATTTGAATAAAAACAGACACTGATCCCTCCATTTTATCTCATACAACCCTGTACATAAGCTTTCATATCTAATGAAAGAAAATCAAATGTATCTGTGGCAGATTTTGTAATTTGATGAAAAGATAAAACAAAAAAAACTACTAAATAGAATGTAAATGTACCTCAAGTATGTGCTGCTACAATACCATTGTCAGCTGAGCTGCAGGCAGTGTATGCTTCATCATCCTCATATTCATAGTCAACATCACCATGAGCCATAAAGGAAGTAATGCCGCCTCATTGTAGCATTAATCCACAGTGGTTAGCCCTAGTCCACAGTGGTTAGCCGTAGTCCACAGTGGTTAGCCCCAGTCCACAGTGGTTAGCCGTAGTCCACAGTGGTTAGCTCTAGTCCACAGTGGTTAGCCGTAGTCCACAGTGGTTAGCCCTAGTCCACAGTGGTTAGCGTTAGTCCACAGTGGTTAGCCCTAGTCCACAGTGGTTAGCATTAGTCCACAGTGGTTAGCTGTAGTCCACAGTGGTTAGCCCTAGTCCACAGTGGTTAACGTTAGTCAATAGCCATGTTCATGCTACCTTGCCAACAGAAGTGGATATCATCATGAGTATTAGTTGCTTAGATCATTAAGAACTAGCATTGTTATGAAAGCTTTTATGATTTAATAGTAGGTTAAGATTTTTTTTCACAAACTTTGAACTCTCAATTGATAAAGTAATCCCAGGTTTTGTAGTTTACAGTTGTACCGTTCTAGATTTAAACATGACAGGTGTGACATGCAGAGCAGAAAACCCTTACTGTTGACAGACACCCAGTGTCACGTGGAGCAGGAAAGCCTTACTGTTGACAGACACCCAGTGTCACCTCTGTGTTTGAAGGGGGACCCTGATGTCTTTTTGGTTTTGATGTCTCCTCATACCTTGCAATTGTCTTTTGCATCATCTAGGAGCTCAGATTTTGCCCTTGTATATTGATGCTGCTGTATTATATACATTTTCTACCTTAATATTTCACTTAACAAATGAGGGTTCAAATTTTACCATGTTTAGTCTATTCATATTTATGCACACCTAATTTTACCTGTCACAAACAAATGTATTAATGACACCAAGCTTTGATAGATACCTGTAGGTGTAGTATTTACACTAATCCAAAATTTGCCTAACACAGAAAGGAGAAGGTGAGGACGCTAGGACAGATTCGCCGCCTGTTCCCGCCTCACGGACACAGCAGGAACCAAGGCCACAGCCCAAGGTAACACAGAGGCCACCAACAGTACATAAAGGTCACAGAGTTCACAGGGTCTCTGAGTACAGAAAGGTCACAGAGTGCATACAGGTCATCGAGTACACACGTCACAGAGAAGTTTATCAAGTTCATATCACAACAACAGTCATCATCTTGTGTGGCTATGGCTACGGATAAAATCTATTCAAAGAAGAAAAATCATAAATATTAGTGTAGTATCAAGATTATCTTGTAATAGAAGACAAGTAGAATTGTTTTTCATTTAGAGATGGGACTATATGCTCAACTTTTATCTACTACAGAAATTCACATGTCATGGCTTTTTGATGGTAAGGACACAACCATGACTGTCTCACAAAGATTCTAACACCATCTGTACAATCCCTTTTAGTATGTAGACATTTTATAGTAAATACGTCTTGAACAAAGACCATCAGATATTCATGTACATCACTGAAGCTGGTCAATCTAGCAAACTGCGATTGGCTTGCCACTTCAACCCAAAGATGCTACAATCTACATTATGATAATAGGATGTTTGGCAGGTTATTGACAACAGACCCCAGCTAACAACCTACAACAATTTCCAAACAATATGGAGGAGGCAAAACTGCTGCCTCACAATCAGATTTTGTATTGTATTTATTCAGACAAATTATTTCATTGACATTATGTAGTTTGTGCTTCTATATTCCACTAGTGTTAGACAATACATGTAGACTATAAAAATAACATTATAACTGGTATATCTAGCATGTCCCAGATATATGGTGTTACTCGTGCTTGTCTGATTCCTTTGTGTATCCTATACATGCATGTTGATACCCACTACTAACACAAAATGTCACAGTGCACCACTACATGATGGTTTGTATTGGTTTTAATTCTAACGTTTCCTCATCAACAGGCACGGCCTCCACCAGAACCTGTACAAAGAGCCAACAGTAAGTGTTAAATAGCACTCACTCTGTCTCAGAGAAAAAATTAAAAAATCTGCTTTAAATAGCATTTTGAAAGAATAAACAAGCAGATAAGCATACAATAAAACCATCTATTGTAAATATCAGTACTGTAGTCTATATGGTCTTGTTTGTTTACCAGGTTCGGATGTCCTACGGGAGCTAGCTAACATGAGACAACAGCTGGAGAGTGAGAGGAAGAGAGTGGAGGGTGCCCTCAACAAACAGAGGGTCAGTTCTATAACAGGGTGTTGTTCACTGTATGTACTACATGTACATTATAAAAAACACATTTCCTGGAGACTGATAATGAAGGAAAAATTATATTAAAAAAGACAGTGCTTATTTATTTCATTCAAATTTTATCTTGTTTTAAATGAAGTAGTATCTCTAGGTTTAGCTATACATTAATCAATTCTTTGTCGTTATATTTAATCTCATTTTTCACTTCAGAACGAACCTGAGGTTTTTGACCCCAGATTGGTACAGAGACCTCCACCGTAAGTAGATCAAATTAAGACTTAAGGTTAAATATGCAATTTATTGTTTGTTTAGGCCTTTAAAAGTGCTGCAATTTAATTCATTGCTTGTAAAGTACTGGAAAATATAATTGTGTTTTCTTGAAAAGTGCTTGAATATTTGCTCATTATTCTTAGAAAAATTCTTGATTATATGTATCGGAGGCAAGTAACAGGTTTCTTTCTGTATGTAGGTTTTCAATGTTGTAATTATTTTTAATTTCTTGTTATGTGATATTTGTGCACTAAAAAAGTTTAATTAGAAAATTGAAAATGCATGAAAAGTGCTGGAACAGTGCGGTAGATTTTGTTCTGAAAAGTCTGCATGAAGTAAATGCAATAACTATACTCTTCCTATTTTTGTTGTAAATTTGAAACAATAGGTAGGGAAATACAGATGAAAATAGATTTATTGTGAATTTGTTTGTCTTTTGACCATTTAGGAAAGAAGTGGATGTATTTGAGAGAGCTACCCAAGGCAATGCTTCTGTTCCTCAGAGGGTGACCGATAACGCCAACCCGAAGAATATACAGGAGTTTCAGGACCTCAAATACAAAGGTAGGGAGTCAGTGTCTGTGGAGTCAATCTCTGTAGAGTCAGTCGCTATAGAGTCAGTCTCTGTAGAGTCAATCTCTGTAGAGTCTGTCTCTGTAGAGTCAATCTCTGTAGAGTCAGACTCTGTAGAGTCAATCTCTGTAGAGACAATCTCTGTAGAGTCAGTCGCTAAAGAGTCAGTCTCTGTAGAGTCAATCTCTGTAGAGTCTGTCTCTGTAGAGTCAATCTCTGTAGAGTCAGACTCTGTAGAGTCAATCTCTGTCTCTGTAGAGTCAATCTCTGTAGAGTCCGACTCTGTAGAGTCCGACTCTGTCTCTGTAGAGTCAATCTCTATAGAATCGGACTCTGTCTCTGTATAGTCAATCTCTGTAGAGTCAAATTTTGTAGAGTCAATCTCTGTAGAGTCAATCTCTGTAGAGTCAGACTCTGTAGAGTTGGACTCTGTCTCTGTAGAGTCAGGCTCTGTCTCTGTAGAGTCAATCACTATAGAGTCAATCTCTGTAGATGTTAATCAGTAAACGTCAGTCAACAAGCAGGCTCAGAATGAGACAGTACAAATTAAATGTCTGAAAACTTTAAAAAAAAAAAAGTTAAAAATAAATGTAAGGGTGTAAGGTTTATGATATTATTATGAGTGAGGAGAGATGTTGGGTGTGAGGTGTGTTATTATGGCTATAAACAGAGTTTTGAGGTGTAAGGTTTGTGATATTATTATGGCTATAAACAGAGATGTCGGGTGTGAGGTTTGTGATATTATTATGGCTAAAAACAGAGATGTCCAGTGTGAGGTTTGTGATATATCATGGGTATGAAGAGAAATGCTGGGCGTGACGTTTGTGATTTTATTTGGGTATACATAATTAGGAGAGATATATAGATTTAAGGTTTAATTACAGCCCCTGATGAGGGACCTGTCAGACCCCCAGCTGGTAGGTGTCTGTGTTGGATGTAACTTTGTCCTGTTGTTGTTAGCTCAGAAAGAGTGGAAAGTTGTGGTTACTTAACACTTTACAAACATTTCATGTCTTGTTATGTTTAACTATTGTGATGTTGTAGTAGAATTGTGTGCTCAGCATACAGATCTTTTGTTAACATTTTTATGTGAAATTTGTAGTGTTTAATTTCTTAAAACTTTTAATGACATGTGTTTAGATTTTCAGTGTTTTTTTGTGTTTGGTGTTTGGGCAAGAGACCATGCCGTTTCAAGGCATTAAAGAATAAATCTGATACTGGAATTTATTGCAGCATTTTTGCTGATAATATTGTGATGTGAATAAGTTAATTTTCACATTTATCAAATGTATTAGAATATGCGAGGTAAATATTTACTACAGCTTATTTATAGTTTCATTGTTGTCTTTTTTAAATGTTTGAATATTTGAATTCATGTTGGAATCTATAGTACTTGTGAATGTACTTTCGAACATATGTGGGGACCACCATGGGCCGAGTGGTTAAGGCAGGTTTGAGGTCTACGTGGGACAGTTCCAAGGTACTAGCCGCAGATCTGTGGTTTAATTACCCCCGGTACTCCGATGTCCTTGACCACCAAAACCTGGCTCGTCCTTAATCGACCATAGCTGTAAATAGGACGTGGGTCAACTGGAGATCAACTGGACAACAAGTTATTTGGGAAAATTGTTATTCAAACAGAATATGAGGCTTTCAGTTTACCTACAAAGATGTCAAAACAGACCTACGTAAGAGGGAATCTCTTGTTCAGAAAAAATAATGTGTCAGAAAATTGAATTGTCTACATTACAAGCTTCTACCACAGGTTGTAGGCACACTAATGTGATGTTTATATACTAAATAGTCTACCTGAGGCTTCTACACTATATACGAATTCCATCAAGGTTATTACAAAATTTGTACAATGTTGTGATGTTTGGAGTGTGCTAATTGAAGCAGATGATACATCTAACATGCAGCTTATGATGTGTTCATTTTTTTTGTTGTTTTTCTTTGACTTATTTGTATTGTAAAATTTGATTTAGTACAACTAATTGTATGAGCATTTCTTTTAAGACCTGAATTAAGTTTTTAAGAACACAACATATTTGATTTTTCCAGTAATTTTGAATTCTATGTTTGAAAATTATGAGACAAGAACGTTTAAATAAAATAACCATTTTTCAAAGTTTTTTTTATCTTCAGTAAAAATATTCTAAAGTACAAATAGAATTAAATAAAAAAAATGATAAATATTTAAAATTTCACTGCAAAAGTGATGTTAATTTGTTCTGAATTAATTGGGAATTAAGTGATAATTAATGGCAACATTTCACTTTTCAGCCCCAACATCTGAGGCCAGTACTGGTATGTTAGAGTCTCAGGCGTACTGAGCTTCTCAGATCATTTTTTGTTATGTTGGTTTGAACAGAAATGAGTGTTGTCTTTGAATTTTTGTGTCAATTTCCTTTACATTTTCAAATGCAATTTTGTTAAAGTGTGATCAATCCTAATGCTTATTTGTAAATCATTTAATGCTAATTAGCATACAAGGGCAAACATATCTACAAGTCTATCTATAATCTTGATTCTTTTATACAAATACATAAGGAAAGAAGTACCATAACTAGCAACGGTGCACACAAAGGAATTTGCCAAATTTTTGAGGCAAACTAACATTTTAAGTAATACGCGTCCAACGAACAGTTGTTTGTTTAGACCCAGTGCCCATATTTGATCCTACTGTCGCTATTACTGTAGATGAGACCTGTGTTTAATATGAATACTTGTACAGTTAAATTGAGTCTGTGGGTGACCAGACAAACATTTCCTGACTTGGAATATCACTTTTGTTTCCAGAGTCAAAAGCTGCACCTCCTGGTATGATAAATGTCTTAGTGTTAATGTCAGTTTTAAGGATCCCTGTACCACTGCCAAAAATGCTAACTGTTCCTTGAAAATAATCTTAAAGCATGACTTTAGCATTGATAAATCAGCTCTAAGAATAAAACCATACATTGCAGAAATTTTATGAAAAAATAGTAAATATAAAACATACAAAAAATATTCTACGACAGTGTTGTGATTGTAAAACTGTAACGAGGCCAGACCAAGACACTGGACCTCCCATTATTATACTGTCTCGCTAACCGACTGAGTTACTGGTCAACAAGGTGTTCTGGTCCATTAGTGCTGCAGTTACATCCAACACCAACCTCGGGAAAGGCTTAAGTGAATGTATGAAACACCACGTCGTAATACTCCAGTGTTTTACTGCAGTGGGACACGGACCCTTAAACTGATACATGTCCATGTCTATAAATGTACAGGGAACTCATTGTTTGTGAGGTAAACCTAAGGGATAACAAGAGTTTTATTTAGAAGATATTTGTTTACTGAGATCCTAAAAATCATTTTCCCTGAAGTTTGAATACCAATGTCAATGTAATACAAAGTAGAGATTGATTTGTTAGTTTTCAGAGTTCTTGACCATTCTTTTTACCCATGGTTGACAAATAATATATCTTTGATAACGTAAACTCTCTCATCCCTTTGAAGTTCAAAACCATGAAGCTGAAAAATGGTGATACCGTCTGTTTTGGACTAGACATAATTAATTATCCAGCAATGTCAACACCTAGCTGTCATCAAATATCTTGCAGGTAGACAAGAGAATGATAATCTGAGAAACAGTTTGCCATGGGTGTCTTTGTGGTACATTTATTACTTGTGTCATTTGGCCATTTAAACTCCATCTTATTGAGATATTTATTATTATTGGTTCCTTGTCAAGATTTTTCTTGAAGTAAAAGTAAACCTAGAAAATACAACTACGAAATAAAACACTCCTCAAAGACTATCCATGATATCAATCATTTAATGTTTTTCATTTACTTTCTTGAAAGATTCAGATTCATAACTCAAGTTGTTAAAATTGTTAATTGAATTCCATACTTGATATCATTATGTGTATTTGTGTGTAAGGAGTTATCTCCCCTGTACTGTAGACCGCTGTGCCTAACAACATGTAAACAGGTTGTTGTTCACGTTGTCATGTTTAATGCCGACATCATTATGTGTATTTGTGTAAGGAGTTATCTCCCCTGTACTGTAGACCGCTGTGCCTAACAACATGTAAACAGGTTGTTGTTCACGTTGTCATGTGTAATGCCGACATCATTATGTGTATTTGTGTGTAAGGAGTTATCTCCCCTGTACTGCAGACCGCTGTGCCTAACAACATGTAAACAGGTTGTTGTTCACGTTGTCATGTGTAATGCCGACATCGTTATGTGTACTGACAACGTTGTGCTGTAGTAGATTTAGAATCCTAAATTCCACAGCAGTGTTTCCTTGATCCAATTGCAGACCTCGGTTGATTTTGTAACCTATGAATTTAAAATTTATGAATTTTAAAAATTTGCGGTAATGCATTCCCACTTAATTAATATGCAATAAACATCCTGTTCAGTGTTATAAGATTATAACTCAGATGTGTTAATATAAAATTATTGCAATATGTAATCTTATGTATAATTAATTATCTTATCATTTGAAAACTTTGTCAAGAATGCTGGCTCATGTTCACAGTTTCATTTGCTAAATATGACACATGTACCAGATATTGATGAAAATGGATATTCAGAAATTTAAAAAAAAAAAGAAAAAGAATATGGAACTGAGTGATCTGAAATCTTAAAAGATATTACTGAACAGAGTGTAGTTTGTGCTTTAGTATAAAATAGGATTTCCCCTGTGAGCGGTGTTGTCTTTTACAAGTAGATAAGTTATTTATAATCCATGTGTTGTATTGATTAGGTCTAGCTGATAGATGTATGCACTTTCCTACCAGGATCCATTATTTTTTGGATTAGTTCCCCTGAAATATGCATTGTGGATGTTAGATACTTTGTCAAACATTACATTTAAGTTCTATGTTGCATCAATGTTCACTGGTGTTTGTCTATCGATAGATTTACTGAAAAACAGTGATTTTCTTTTCAATTCATGCAGTTCATGACTGGGTTGATTTAACTCTGTAAAACTTGGTTTTTGAAGTTGGTGTTAATTTCTGTAACACAGTTTTGATAATGTTCTGACTAAAGGTTTTAGTGTTGATTATAACTCACAGTAGATTGATTTGATTCTTTGTAATTTTCATATTTTATCAATTTATATCATCATATCCCATAAAACAATATCACTGTAACTTCACTTACATTTAATTAATTAATTGAAAATATACACTTTGTATTATTTTCCAGGAAAATTGTTGTCTTGATAAGTACAAATCTGTACAGCTTTGCTGATGTGTAACCAGGATGTATACAGATGTGCTGATGTTAACTTTGTTATGTACCGGTGTACTTACCTGTAACCTGAATATGAACAGGTGTACTTACCTGTAACCTGAATATGAACAGGTGTACTTACCTGTAACCTCATTACGTACCAGTGTACTTACCTGTAACCTCATTATGTACAGGTGTACTTACCTGTAACCTCATTATGTACAGGTGAACTTACCTGTAACCTCATTACGTACAGGTGTACTTACCTGTAACCTCATTATGTACAGATGTACTTACCTGTAACCTCATTACGTACAGATGTACTTACCTGTAACCTCATTGCGTACAGATGTATTTACCTGTAACTTGAATATGTACCGGGGTACTTACCTGTAACCTCATTACATACAGATGTATTTACCTGTAACCTGAATACGTACCGTTGTACTTACCTGTAACCTTGTACTTAACTGAAACCTCATTATGTACAGGTGTACTTACCTGTAACCTAATTACGTACAGGTGTACTTACCTGTAACCTCATTACGTACAGATGTAGTTACCTGTAACTTGAATATGTACCGGTGTACTTACCTGTAACCTCATTACATACAGATGTATTTACCTGTAACCTGAATACGTACCGGTGTACTTACCTGTAACCTTGTACTTAACTGAAACCTCATTATGTACAGGTGTACTTACCTGTAACCTCATTATGTACAGGTGTACTTACCTGTAACCTAATTACGTACCAGTGTACTTAACTGTAACATCATTACGTACAGATGTATTTACTTGTAACCTCGTTACATACAGGTGTACTTACCCCTAACTCAGTTTGTAAAGGTGTGCTGACCTCTACCTTGTTCTGTTACAGGTGATACAGAGTCGCGGCGCGCGTTCAGGAGCATGTTCCCAGAACAGCCGTACACCAACAACACCCTGGAGTCGCAGCAGGACGCCATGCTGAGACAACAGAATGAACAGATACGCACTCTTAAGGACAGGAGTAAGTCTTATAGATATTGTCAGATAAATACACTTACTGTTTGATTTAGGAGAACAAATTATCGTCTCTGATTCATTTTAAAGATAAAGTCAAAACTCAAATGTAAAATAATTGTCCAACGTGCAGTAGTAGCTCCACAAATTGACATTCTCTTTTATCAAATTTAAATATATATTATAATTGAAATCAGTTTTATTAGTTATTGAGACTTGTATGTTTAGTCATCCTACAGCATATACTGTGCCATGTAATTATTTAAAACTTTAAATTTCTATTCTAAAATCATGCTTTCCTATAAAGTTATCTTACTTTGGAAACACTTATCCTTACTCACTTGTAGTCACTTCAAATTCAATCTGATGTCTTGGTTTACCAACTTTGATTGACTTCCTTATTGATGAAAACAATAAACATCATAAGAGTCTTCTTCTATTTCATGAATCTTTAATTTCTACAGAAAGTTAGTTTCCCATATTTAAAAGAATAAAGTTCTGTTATTTTTCTGAATTTATTCCATAAATAACATAAGTTATGACTTATCAACTACTTGTCGAAAAAGACTCTTAGTTGAACTGTAACCAGTCAGGACTTTAATGTGTGGGTTGGGACCAGTGACTAGTTGAACTGTAACCAGTCAGGACTGTAATGTGTGGGTTGGGACCAGTGACTAGTTGAACTGTAACCAGTCAGGACTGTAATGTGTGGGTTGGGACCAGTGACTAGTTGAACTGTAACCA